AAAGTGGAAGTTCTCTCCTCCCTTCAGAGAAAGGTACCTCCTTCTTTGATGGCCCATTCTCTCCGCTGGGATCTCACTCACAGAGATCTTTCATTTAGGTGTTTTTTGTTGTTGTTGTTGGTTTTTTTTTTTTTTTTTAGCCACAGTGTTTTGGCTTTCCATGCCTGAAATACTCTCATGGGCTTTTTAGCCAGATCCAAATGCCTTTAGGGCTGATTCTGAGGCCAGAGTGCTGTAGAACATCTGCCATTCTATGAGTCTGCTGTGTATCCTGCTTCTCATGATGGATTGTTCTCTCCTTTTTAATTCTATCAGTTAGTATTAGCAGACACTAGTCTTGTGAAACTAACTCTTGATACCATATATGTACTGAACACATAAAAGAAGACTGGGAAATTGAAGGCTTCCTATAAATGGGATTGTTTTAGTCTTGGAAGTAATGTTGATACAGATTTTTTCTGGAGTAACCACCTATGGCTGGCCTGTGCTGGCTTTTGAAGGTTGGCTTGCAGACTATCAGATAAGTTTTGAAAGAGCTCAATCCAAACCGTCACAGAATAATTTTGGCCTGGGTTACAAGACTACCAGCTGTATACTCATGTAACCTATGGCACTGAATTTGGAGGTTCTGTCTACCAGAAGGTCAATGAGAAGACAGACACGTCAATGAATGTTGCGTGGACAGTTGGCAGTGACACCATCCATTTTGGCATTGCAGCTAAATACAAGCTGGATTGTTGAACTTTCTCTGATAAGCCTACTGGACTGAGCAGACCCTTCAACCAGGAGTCAAACTGACCCTCAAGCTGTCATCAACAGGAAGAACCTCAATGCAAAAGGTTACATAGGTGGGCTGGGATTTGAACAGGAAACTTAATGTGGCTTTGAGTAAAGCATCAGATTGGTCCCTGGCAGTGAAGAGAAATGAAGCCACTATGTTTTGGCCTTAAAATTCTTCTGTGAAATTTCAAACATGTGAATTTTTACTCTTCCTTTTTTAAAAAAAATATTTATTTATTTGAAAGGCAGGGTTACAGAGAGAGAGTGACAGAGAGGGCAGGAAAGGCAGAGATCTTCCATCTGCTAGTTCACTCCCCAGATGGCCTCAACAGCTTTGGGGGTAGGCCAGGCTGAAGCCAGGAGCTTCTTCCAGGTCTCCCACGAGTGTGCAGGGGCCCAAGGACTTGGGCCATCTTCTATTGCTTTCCCAGGTGCATTAGCAGGGAGCTGGATGGCAAGTGGAGCAGCCGGGACTCAAACCGATGTCCATACAGGATGCCAGTGCTGCAGATAGTGGCTTTACAACTGCACCATGGTGCCAGCCCTGAACCTTTTATTCTTCCAAAGAATTATAATCCTCCCTACACTGAAGTCTAGAGATTGCAGGGCCATCCTAAGGGAGGTTCTTAAAGGCATGCCTGGAAGTTGTCATGTTTGTGCCACATTTCGGTTCAGGTCTGCATGTTAACTTTAATGCGTTCCTCAGCAGCAGTGCCCTGTCATTAAAGGAAATGACCTAGCCCTCCAGCTTGTACATCACAACCTGCATGTCCCACACCACTTTTTCATGACCTTTGAATATTATTGTTCTCAATCCCCAAAAACTTAAAAAACTTAAAAAATACATTTAAAAGCATAATTTAAAACAATAATTAGAAAAGTAAACTATCTGCTACCCTTTAACTCAATGTAATTCAGTTTACTGTGGCCTTCGTTGCACCACTTTTTCCATCCACCAGGCTCGTGAAATATTTCCTGAAACACTTCCTTATTCTTTTCTTAGTATTTTTCTTCCCCGCCAACTTACCCAGTGGCCAACTGTTTAGTAAATTGTCTTTGAGATTTATTTTGTAAAGGTTTTGTGCCATATAAGAGCAGACCACATTGCTGACCAGATGCGGCAAGGCTGCAGATGAGAGGTATTTATTTACTCCTTCTTTTTACCCTGTTTTCCTGTCGTAAAAACTGTAAACTTGAGCTTGAGAGGTGAGCGTTTGCAGAAAGATTCTAGAATCTTGCAAAGACAATACATAAGGGATTGCTAGGAAAAAGCACCAGTAACTGAAAGCTCAATCAGTCCCTGTGCCCCACGCTGAATAAAAATAACAAGGACAAGATCTGAGGTTAAAGCAAAGCGACATTTTAATCTATTGACCAAGGAGGACAATAGCAGACTTTTGAGTCTCAAAAACTACTCCTGCTTAGTGAGGAAGGTCTGGGGTTGGTTGGTTTGTTTTTAAAGATTTATGGATTTAGTTAGTTGAAACGCAGAGTGAGAGACAGAGAGTGAGAGGAAGAGAGAAATATCTTCCACTCATTGGTTCACTCCTCAAGCGGCTGCAGTGGCTGGGGCTGGGCCAGGCTGAAGCCAGGAGTCAGGAGCCAGGTGCTCCATCCTGGTCTCCCATGTGGGTGACAGGGGCCCACTGCTTTCCTAGGCTCATTAGCATGGGACTGAATGAAAAACAGAACAGGCGGGACTTGCCCAGCACTCAGATATGGAATGCTGGTGTTGCAGGTGGTTAGCTTAACTGCTGAGCCACAATGCCCGCCTGGTCCGGGGAATTTAATAAGGCTATAAAGGAGGTTGGGCTGCTGGGCCAGGTGTCAAAGCCTGCGAGCAGGGCACTGACGCCAGTGGGGTTCCATGGGAAGCTTGCTTGATGGCTGACTTTATCATGAGGAGACACAGGCAACATATTCTGTACAACTAAGTAGCTACAAAAGATTATTTTGGCTGAGATCTGAAAGAGGCAAAGTCTTGTGTTCAGAGATTCCAGTGTTTTATTTAGCAGGATGAAGCCCACTCGGCCCAGGGCTCATGCTTGACCCTTAGCTGTTGGTCCCCCTTTACATTACATTACGATAAACTCAAACCTTTGGCCATGCTGACCTGGGAGGACCAGAACACTTTGCACCTGCAGCTGGTCTTCCCAAGGCCAGTCTCTGGAATTCACTAACAAACACCATTTATCTGTTTGAACAGACAATTTAATCAGTCGCAGGCTCAGTAGCTTGCTTTTGTTCATCAGAATATGAAAAGAAAGATGTACTCAGTCTGGTTACACATCCACTTTACTGAATGGCAAGAAACAGTGTTTCACAAGTTCCGCAGAGCCCACATGGTAATTTTTTTTTTAAAAGATTGATTTATTTGTGTGAAGGTCGGAGTTACAGAGAGAGAGAGAGAGAGAAAGAGAGAGAGAGAGAGAGAGAGGAGATCTTCTATCTGCTGGTTCACCCCTCAAATGACAGTAACGGCTGGAGCGGGGCCGGTCCAAAGTCAGGATCCAGGAGCTTCGTCTGGGTCTTCCACGTGGGTGCAGGGGCCCAAGCACCTGGGCCATCTTCTTCTGCTTTCCCAGGCCACTAGCAGGGAGCTGGAATGGAAGTGGAGCAGCCGGAACTCGAACCAGTGCCCATATGGGATGCCAGTGCCGCATCCTGATGTACCACAGTTCTGACCCCACCACATTGTATTCTTTTTATCTTTTATTCTTATATTCCCAGACACAGCAAAAATAAAAATTTTTTGAGCACTTAATGTGTACTCAATACACAGTTGCTGATGTAATTGACTGCTTGTGTTTACAACACATGTATCGATACATCTTAAAGTCATTATCAGACAGTTTCTATTCACTGGAGTCTAACTGTAAACACCTCACTAAAATTGAAAAAAATGATATTTATATAGTGGGCATAGGCAGGGTTTAGGTCTAGGTGCGCTGGAATTCCTGCCAGCCCTGCAATGTAATCTCTACCTGGCAACCTAAAACACCCACCTTCCCAGGATGCACCTGTGTCTCATCCTGGACCAGGAAGGAGGAGAAGCCATGATACCACATATTAAACTCCACTTGGTGGTGCCACAAAAAACCCAGCTGACTTCACCAATGCTAAGACCCCACCCTCTTTGAATATTCAGTTAAGTCACCACTACCCCTACCTCATAAAAGAGGTGGAGAAGAGGGAATAGCCTGCTTTTTGCCCCTGACCACAGTTGGGGTGCTGTTCCGATGCTTTCTTTCAAAAACCTCTGGCCTACTCATGATGGGTATTTCCCCATTGAGATGGTCCACAATCACATGAGAACAATGTATGCTTATGCTTATGCTTACTCTCACAACTTTTTGCTTACTCTCACAACTTTTAAATAAATCTTATTCTCACTTATGCACTTCATGTATGCCTGGGCTTAGAATTCTTATCTCTGTGCGGGTCAAGCACCTGGATTAAAAGTAAAGGTACTCGGATCATGTCTGTATTAAAAACCTAAAGAACCAGGGACCAGAGTTGTGGCGCAACAGGTTAAGCCACCACCTGCATTACCTGCATCCTGCATGGGAGCTGTGGTTCAAATCCAGGCCACTCCATTTCCAATCCAGTTCCCTGCTAATACGCCTGGGAAGGCAGCAGAAGATGGAGAAAGTGCTTGGGCCCCTACTCCCACGTGGGAGACCCAGTTGGAGTTCAAGTCTCCTGGCTTCCTCCTGGAGCCCTTGCAGCCATTTGGGGGGGTAAACCAGTGGATGGAAGATCTCTCCCTGCAACTCTGCCTTTCAAATAAATAAATAAATAAATAAATCTTAAAACCTGAAGAATTTTTGGCTGTCACTTTCCACTTGCTCCAGCTGCTGGCCTTCAGAGGATTGGGGGCAAAGAAAGTGAAAATTCCTTATTACACTGTCATCAACGTTACAGGAGAATCTCAAAAGAGGTTTTTAAAAAATATTTAATAATGCACGAACATTACCACAATTGCTCCAGGCTTCTGTAGTTCAGCCTCCAAACCTTCAAAACTAGATCGGCCCTCCGGACCAATGTACTAGGCTGCAAGGGTTAGGAATTTCTCCTGGGCTGAATGGGACGAAGAATTTCCTAGCTGTGGAGATGACGGATCCCAGGGTGCTGACTGCACCTCTGACCCAGGGGCCTCCCACCGCGCCCCGCCCTGCCGGGAAGCGAGGGGAGGAGCCAGCGCGGCCGCGCAGGAAGAGGCGGAGCTCTGGAGGTGGCGGGAAAAGAGCGCCCGGAAGGGGCCCGGCCGCCGAGCCCACCTTAGCCCACCGACAAGCCGCGTCTCCGCCGTCTCCGCCGCCAGGCCGCCCGCGCCATGCCCGCCGCCGGCTCTGAGCTGCCGTCGCCGCCCACGGCGCAGGAGCAGGGCGCCGAGGCGCGGCCGCCCCACGGGGAGCTGCAGTACCTGGGGCAGATCGAGCACATCCTGCGCTGCGGCTTCAGGAAGGAGGACCGCACGGGCACCGGCACCCTGTCGGTGTTCGGCATGCAGGCGCGCTACAGCCTGAGAGGTGACAGCGCCGGGGGGCGGGCAGGAGGGCGCTGCACGGCTGGCCCTACCCTCAGTCCCGCGTCGCAGGGGAAGCATCGCATCCCCATTTCCCGGGCGCGGGAACCGAGGCCTGGGTTGGAGAGGTGATTTGCGTAGAGCCCCACAGATAGGAGCCCTGAGCCTCCTAGCTTCATAGCCTTCCAAAGCCAGCGTGAGCTGGGAGCGTTCGCCCCATCCGGGAGAGGGGCAGAGACTTGCCCAGGCTTGCCCAGGCGTTGGCCAGGGGGCCGCCACTCCGCGCGCTAGCTGTGTTGCGCTTTGCAGCGTTTAAAAACTGGAGCGCAAACGGTGTGGGCGGGGCGGCAGGAGGCGGGAGAGAGCCGAGGGGTGGGCTCGAGAGTCCGAGTTAGGAGCCATTACTCATCTGGTTCCGTCGGACGGCCCAGGGAGGAAGTGACTGGGAGGGTGGCAGCATCAGGCTGTCGCTGGGGCGACAGATTTGCCCCTCCCCAACGGCAGATCTAGGATCCTGCTCAGTGCACCCTCCGAGGAGACCGAACAGCATCTTTGACACTGGGGCGGAGCGGGGTTGCAGGGGAGAGCCGCTGTTGGTGAAGAGGGGTGCCTGTAGTCAGGGAAGAGCCCCTCCCCAACCCGCACACCCATTCTAGAAACCGGAAACTGCACCAGGGGCCGGGGGCTGCCCTGCTTTGGACAACTTGCGGCCGTCCTCTGAGCAGCTGCAAGCCCAGTCATTGGCTTCTGATGAGCCGCAGAACTAGTTTTTAATTCACCCCCTCTGCTTAGAGAGTGAGCCAGCTTACCTTTCTGGTTTTCAGCTTCCCCGTACGTTAAAAATGGAGGAAATGGGGGCTGGCGCTGTGGTGTAGCAGGTAAAGCCGTTGCCTGCAGTGCCAGCATCCCATATGGGCTCTGATTCGTGTCCTGGCTGCTCCACTTCCCATCCAGCTCTCTGCTATGGCCTGGGAAAGCAGTAGAAGATGGCTCAAGTCCTTGGGCCCCTGCACCCGTGTGGGAGACCCGGAGGAGGCTCCTGGCTCCTGGCTTCGGATTGGCACAGCTCTGGCCATAGCGGCCATTTGGGGAGTGAACCATTGGATGGAAGACCTCTCTTTCTCTGTAACTCTGACTTTCAAATAAATAAATAAATCTTAAAAAAAAAAAAAAAAACTGGAAGAAATGATGCTCCATAAGCAATACTGATAAGAGCCAGAGCTTGAAAATCTCCCTGTCACACAGATGTCAGCTGTACAGCCAATGATGTGGGCTAAATAGGTGCTGCATTTAAAGATGGGTTTTTACACTTTTTATTCCTCTATTGCTTGATGCCTCCCTTTTTGTCCCTTAAGCTGTGCAAACTTACATATTGCCTCCCAGATCTGTAAAATGGAGATCTTCATGGCTCCTGGAGGAGGCTTGAGTTGAGCATTAATAGGATCATATATATAAAATATTTGAACTGATTAGGGCACACTGGGGAAAAAAAGGTCAGTTTGTTTTACAGCTAAATTCTGTATTTTTGGCCAATGTGATATCAACTATGCCCTGAGCAGGGCCATAGTGGAATTAGTCATGGGTGCCTTTGGGCTTTGGGCACACACCTGGTCTTCTGTGGTAGATGGCTGTTCTTTGCCTTTTCCATGTGGGCACTCCCTACCCTCAGTTTCACTGTGTGAAATTCCTCTGTCCAGGGGCCACTACTGTAGAGTAGTAGCTTAAGCCTCCGCCTGCAGCACCTCCCATGTGGGTGCTATAGATTCAACTCCTGGCTGCTATACTTTTTTTTTTTTTTAAGATTTTATTTATTTATTTGACAGGTAGAGTTACAGACAATGAGAGGGAGAGATGGAGAGAAAGGTCTTCCTTCCGTTGGTTCACTCCCCAAATGGCCGCAACAGCCGGAGCTGTGCCGATCCGAAGCCAGGAGCCAGCTGCTTCCTCCTGGTCTCCCATGCAGGTGCAGGAGCCCAAGCACTTGGGCCATCCTCTACTGCTTTCCCAGGCCATAGCAGAGAGCTGGATTGTAAGAGGAGCAGCCGGGACTAGAACCAGCGCCCATATGGAATGCCGGTGCCACAGACGGAGGATAACCTACTGCACCATGGCGCTTGCCCAGACTACTGTACTTCTGATCCAGCTCCCTGCTAATGGCCTGGGAAAGCAATGGAAAATGTCCCAGCTGCTTGGGCCCCTGCACCCACATGGTGAGCTCCTGGCTCCTGGCTGCGGATCGGCCCAGCTCTGGCTAATGTGGCCATTTGGGGAGGGAACCAGCAGAGGGAAGGCCTCTCTGTCTATAACTCTACCTCTCAAATAAATAAATATTTTAAAGAAGGAATAATTCCTGTGTCCAGGGCTTGCCAAGACTCAGGAGGGCTGTGTCCATCTGAAGTGTGTCACTGACTTGCCCCGATCCCTGGTGCCCACTCAGAATTGCAGTTTTCCAGATGTTTCTATTATCACATCAGGCCCTCATGTCCCAGGGCACTTTTCTTCCACAGAAATTTGGACAGGGTGTTCTTTTTTCCCGTCTTCAAACTGTGCGGCAAACTGTTTTTCAGATGAATTTCCTCTGCTGACAACCAAACGTGTATTCTGGAAGGGTGTCTTGGAGGAGTTGCTGTGGTTTATCAAGGTAAAAAAGTTGCTGCTATTGCAAGTGCACAGTCTGCTTTCAGCACAGCAGCCAGCGAGATCATTTACAAGCCAGATTGTGTCATGCCTTGGCCTAAAGCCCCAGCAACTCCCTTCTCATGCCCTGAGAGTCTGGTCCTTATCAAGGCCTCTCTTCTGGCTCCGGAGCGCTGGCCATGGCTGCTGCTCTCTGCCCCACCTTTCCTGGCCTCCTTGCCAATCTTTGAGCACATGGGACTCTGCGCTTGCATTCCCACACCTTGGAGCCTTCTTTACATGCATTGTGACTCCCTCCTGCTGGTCTCTGCTCGCACCTTCCCTGGCCTCTTCATCTGCACTGTGAAGCTCCCCTCACCTCATTTCTCTCCGTAGAGAAACATCTGGTATGTAATGTCAGCCTCCTCCCTTTCTCCCTTAGAAGGAGAAGAGATAAGATGTGCTGTAAGCTCCATCAGGGCCCTGAATTTGTTTCTGTTGTTCTCTTTTGTTCCTTTTGTATCGTAGAGACACCCAACACATGGTGCCTACTGGACATATGTTGGTCCTGAATATAGCTACCAGATGTATTCTCATGTTTGTGTAAACTAGAAGTCTCTTTGAGATAAACCTTTTCTGGGGTGGGCATTGTGGTGTGGCAGGTTAAGCCACCACCTGCAAAGCCAGCATCCCATGTGGGCGCCAGTTCAAGCCCCGGCTGTTCCACTTTCGATCTAGCTTCCTGCTGGCAAGCCTGGGAAAGCAATGGAAGATGGCCCAAGTGCTTGGGTCCCTGCGGCTACGTGGGAGACGTAGGCCTGGCACAGCCCTGGCTGTTGAGCCATTTGGGGAGTGGATTAGTAGATGAAAGATTCTCTCTCTCTCTCTCTCTCTGTAACTCTACCTTTCAAATAAATAAAAAAATAAATCCTAAAAAAATAAAAAAAAGATAAGCCTTTTCCAAAGAGCTGAATGCTTGGGCAAGGACTGGAGTGCCACGCAGCAGCTAAGCCTGAGTGCTTCCAAGTTTCATGTCCTGGTCCGGAACCAGTGATGGGCTGTCCAGTGTTCATTGGAGGATGCCTGAGGAGATGTGCTCAGTTCTGGGCCATGCGAGAAGTTAGGGTCTCTTCTGTAGAGCACTTAATGTGACTCAGAGGGTCTTGGGCCAAATCAGACTCATTACCTCTCATCCCATTCTAGACTTTAGATTTGGATCCAGTCTAATCTTCCCTTAGTTCCATGTTCCCTGGGATATTTCAGTTGGTGTTGACCTCTGTCAACTGACAGCCTCTGGTTCTGTAGCACATTGTCATGATTCTCAGAAGAGGACTAAAGACTAGCTAGTTCCCAGTCTGGGGGGAAAGGAGAGACTTAAAGTAGTATGTGAAACTTTGAGAAATGGTTTGTTGCAAGTAAAAATACACATTAGACTGAACACTACAAAGGGAGGAAGCAAAATGCTCAGACAGGAAATGCCTTCACCTGTTTTAACTTAAAGCTTGAATAAGGAATTCTGTCCTTACGGGGAGCGTCAGACTCGCTTCTGAGAGAGAGATTGCAACTCAGTAAAATAGAGGAATCAGTTTGCACCTGTGCTGCAGCTAGAGCCCTGGACAAGACAGGGCCATCCCATAGCTAGTTCCTATTGAACACTAAGCATTTTGTTCATTTTATCCTCACAGTAATCACGTGTGGTGGATGCTACTCATGTGCTGTCCATGGGTGATAGTGAAGCTAGAGAGAGGGGGGGTATAAGGGTCAGGCATGGAGCCTGGAGTGCCAGGGGCACAAGAGGGTCTGTCCCTGACCTGGATGCATAATTGGAATGCAGGTTAAGGTGTCACGGGTCAAATCTAAGGGGTACGATGTACTTGACCAAAAAAAAAAAAAGCCCACACAATTGTGTAAGTATAGATTGAGTGAACATGACTGCATAGTGGCACATGTAAGATGTGAAGGAATTTGTGTCTGAATTCAGTGCGGTTTGACTGGTAGATTTGCCAGAAAAGCTAATACTGTATTAGACATGCCCTATATCCTCTATATCTGATGCACTGAACAGACTGCATAAAGGGCATTCCGTTAATTTGGGGTTATCACTTAGACACAGAACACAATTGAAGAATAAATAGACCTGTCAGCTGAGTTGGAGGTATTTAGAATGTTTAGTTGAAGGGAACAAAAGAAAACATTTCAGAGGGTTGTTCCCAACAAGGGAAGCCCTCAAAAGTCTGGGCGGGGACCAGCTCTGCATGGACCCACTGAATGCCCGCCCCAGCCTGCCAGCAGGGGCTGGAGACCTGCGGGGTGGCAGGCTGTCTGGGGCTCAGCCAGATGGCTCAGTTTTCACTTGAATACCTCTTCCCTTCTTTTCCAGGGATCCACAAATGCTAAAGAACTGTCTTCCAAGGGAGTGAAAATCTGGGATGCCAATGCATCCCGAGACTTTTTGGACAGCCTGGGATTCTCCACCAGACAAGAAGGGGACCTGGGTCCAGTTTATGGCTTCCAGTGGAGGCATTTTGGTGCAGAATACAAAGATAAGGACTCAGGTGAGGAGACAGAAGAAGGCTTCAGGTTTCCTTCCTAGGGTGAGTTTTTACTGCATTATTTCAGGTAAAGTCTGCAGGATGATTAGTGTCATGGGAACCAGTGTGTAACTTCATCCTGAGAAGCTGCACCAGGTTAAGGTGGAGAAACCACAACGTCACACTCTTGGGGAATCGTGTTTATCTGTTGTTTAGCGTGTGCTTGGCCCTTCCCAAACCCGGGTCAGGAGCAGATGGCTGGCTGCGGCAGAGGTGTTTGTGCTGGGCAGCAGGGTAGGGAAGAATCTCATCTGTGAGACAAGGTGCCTGCCTGCAATTGCCTTGGGCTGGCTTCCGCCTTCTTTTCAAGGCTGAGACTCCAGCAAACTGTAGGTGGCGCTGGTGTGACAGCATAGTCCCCAGGTCACCCTCTCCTTACTCTGCTGGGGTGGAAGAAGAAAAAGAAAATGGTCTCACTCCTAGACTTTCTCCTTTCCCTGTCACCATAGGTGGCACCACTTGCCAGAACAAATGCCCCCCCACCCCCACCCCGTGTGTGTGCGTGTGCATGCATGTTCATGAAGTACAGTTTCGTGGCTGGGCAGGGACCTGCAACCTGCAGCGTGTATGGCTTTAGAGAGGGCCATCACGTTTCACTCCCAGCTGGCTGGAGGGATTTGGGCCTAGCGTCACAGTTCCTCAGTAAAAGCCTAAAATCCATACTCATGTACAATCATAAGATCTTTTAAATTTGGCAAACTTCAGGAAGTTGTAAAGTATTGTACAGACCTGGAATAGGTAAGCTTACAGAGACAGAAAGTGTGGTTTCCCCATGGGCTGGGGAAAGAGGGAGTGAGGAGTAAGAGTTTGATGGGTAGACAGTTTTAATTTCTGATGATGAAAAAGTTCTGTTAAGTATGGTGATGCTTGTGTGATGTGAATGTACTTAATACCTCTGAACTGCATGCTTAAAGGTTAAATGGTGGGGCGGGCCTTTGGCCTAATAGTTGAGATAATGCTGGGGACACACATCGGAGTGCCTGGGTTTGATACCCAGCTCTGGCTCCTGATTCCAGCTTCCTGCTAATGTGGACTCTGGGGAGGCAGCAGGGATGGCCCAAGTATTGTTTTGTTCCTGTCACCCACATGGGACACCTGAATTGAGTTCTCAGTTCCCAGCTTTGGCTACTAGGCCACTGTAGGCATTTGGGGAGTGATCTCTCTCTTTCTGTGTCTCAAATATAGGAAGCATAAAGAAATTATTATTGTCATATATACTTTACTGTAACAAAAATACTGTGTGGGCCAGACTCTCTGCAGGTAAATGGTCTACAGGCTATTGGTCTGTGATCACCTTAGGTTATGAGGCCACTTCCTTAGCTAATGGTGCCTTCCATCCTGCTTAGTGTTTGATTACTTATTGTTTCTCAGTAAAATTATGGCCTTAGTTTAAACTGTTAGGTTTTTTAAATTTATTTTATTTGAAAGGCAGAATTAGAGAGGGGGGGACAGAACTCTTCCATCTGCTAGTTCACTTCGCAAATGGCACCATGACAAGGTGGGGCCAGGCCAAAACCAGGAGCCTGGAACTTCATCCTGGTTTCCCATGTGGGTGGCAGGGGCCCAAGTACTTGGGCCACCTTCCATTGCCTTCCCAGGTGCATCAGCAGGGAGCTGGATTGGAAGTGGAACAACTGGGACTAGAAGCAGCACTCATGTGGGATGCCATTGTCACCCGTTCCCACCTGGTGGCTTAACCTGCTGTGCCACAATGCCAGCCCTTAACTGTTGTATTTCCCTAAGGAAGTTAATCTTGTTTTCAATTTTTTATTTTGAAAGAGTTACAACTTACAGGAAGTTGCAGCATTTATGTTTGTATAGACTGAGTTCCCCTGTCTTCTTCAGGCAGTTTCCTCCACAGTGGCACCTTGTATAAACTGACATTGGTGCAGTCTGAACAGCTTAACAGATTTTGCCGGTTTTACACACATCCGTGTGTTTGTCTGCAAGTTTAGCTCATGTCATGGAACTGCTGCCACAATCAAGATACAGAGCTGTTCCATCACAGCCCATCATTTTAAAATTGTCGATGTTACTTTTTTTTGGAATTGTGGTTTTGAGAGGACTTTCCTACCAAAAAATGTGAGAACTGGACTGGAACATTGCCTGACTTGTGTCAGTGGAAGGTTAACTAGAAGAAAAGGTGCAGGTGTGTACTCTGTTAACAAATCATTTCTGCACTTCAGTTTCATCTTGGATGGATGGCAAGAAGTTTCAGTCCAGAGACCAGGACTAGGAGAGGAGTGCAAGATGGGGTCTTCATTAGTGAAGTCTCCCTATTAAGTCCCTATTTAGCTGCTAAATTGTAAACTGTATCCTGGGGACAGGGTATTGTCTAGCCTTGGGAAGGTACCTGTGGTCCTGTTCATTGGAATGTGTATGGAATGCTGTATCCTAGATAAGATCCAATACTTTGAGTGGGACAAGGATAAACGGTATGTCAGTGAGCTGACAAGAATGGTTGATGACAGGGCTGGCATTGTGGTGTAGTGGGTAAAAGATGCCACCTGCAGTGCCGGCATCCCATATGGGTGCCAGTTCTGAGTCCCAGCTGCTCCATTTCCAATCCAGCTCTCTGCTATGGTCTGGGAAAGCAGTAGAGGATGGCCCAAGTCCTTGGGTGTCTACAGCATCATGGGAGACCCAGAAGAAGCTCCTGGCTTTGGATCGGACCAGCTCTAGCCATTGTGGCCATCTGGGGAGTGAACCAGCAGATGAAAGATCTCTCTCTCTACCTCTACCTCTGCCTCTTTCAAATAAATAGATAAATAAATAAATAAAAAAAGGTTGATGGGTACAGAGACTTAAGTCCCAGGGGACCATTGGAAGAAACCAAGATTGCTGAGACTGGAGAATAGTCAGAGGGGCCAGGGGAGCAGGTAACACCATGACAGGCCAAATTTGTAAAGGACTGGTGTGTACAACAGAAAATAGATTTTATTCAGCTCATATGGTACCTTCAGTGCAACCCAGCAAGATCTGGAAAGTTTGCATGAAGGCTGTGGGTTGGGCGAGGCTGTAATAGATGACCTCAGAGGTGTCTTAGAGACTTTGATTAACGTGTGAATGTTCTCTCTTAACAATTCTACAGATTATTCAGGTCAAGGAGTAGACCAACTGCAGAAGGTGATCGATACCATCAAAACCAACCCTGATGACAGAAGAATCATCATGTGTGCCTGGAATCCCAAAGGTGGGAAGCACCCCAGTCATCCTCCTTTGCACTGACCCTGCTGTGAGCACAGAGGGACTCCAGTGGCATTGTGCCCTGGCTGCTAGAGGGAGGCAGGACCCCGGGCAGTGCCCTGGCCACACGGTTGGCTGTCATAGTTCATCCCGTTTTCACCTTCTACTTGTGAGGTTGGACCCGGATGATCTTAATTTGTATTATAGGCTTTAAATTGCCTATAAAAACACAAATAAGATTTTAACATCAAGTTGGAGCAAATGAACTTTCAGATCACTTCCCTCCCTATAAGTGTTGTTAATCATTGTATTCTGAAGTTAAACTCTACCAGGGTAAGTATCCAGAGTGGAATGTTTGCATCTATAATACTTAGTACAGGGGGCTGTGCCTGAGAGGCCAACTTCCTGGGGCCTCTGCAAGTGGAACCATTCTGTCTGTATTTGCGGTGTGGCCACAGAAAGTAGCACGTGGTTAATGCGCAGGTGGGAGCGTGTTGCTGCGGTTAACCGTCCATCCGCAGAAATGGCACGTTGACGGGCAGGCCTCCCTCTGCTTTGTGCCATTGCTGCAGCAGGTAGAGGGAGTGGTCTGATTCCCAGTGTGACTGGCAGGTGAGGGTCATGGGGGTTGCTGCGGCCCAGTGGCTCTTTGTCATAGTTCCCAGGTTGGCTTCTTTCCCCTTCCTGATTTGAATGACTTGAGAACTGTCGCTTCTCATTCTCTTTGTGCTGGTTCCTCAGACCTTCCTCTGATGGCGCTGCCCCCGTGCCATGCCCTCTGCCAGTTCTACGTGGTGAATGGGGAGCTGTCCTGCCAGCTGTACCAGAGGTCGGGAGACATGGGCCTGGGCGTGCCCTTCAACATCGCCAGCTATGCCCTGCTCACCTACATGATCGCGCACGTCACCGGCCTGAAGGTGGGCTGCTCTGGGAAGGCAGGATCGCTGCCAGCTTGGCACACTGAGCTCCTCGACGCCTTCCCACAAAAAGCAGGCTGCAGAGGCTTCGGGGTCTGATCAGTTTTAAAATGTTGCTCAGTTGTCCCCCTGTATGTGTGGGGGGCGACTTAGATACCAAAACCCTAGGATGCTCAAGTCTTATGTAAAATGGCCAAGCACTTGCATATACTCTGTGCACATCCCTCTGTAATCTTACATCATCTCTAGAAGACGTACTAAGAAAATGTAAATGCTATGTAAATAGTGGGTGTTGTTTAAGAAATAATGAACAAAATGTTTGAACATGTTCAGTGCAGAGGAATTCTCGGTGTTCAGCCTGGTTGGTTGCAGGTATGGAGGGCTGACTGTGTATCTAAGACAGACACAAGCTGGCTCACTGTAACCCTCCACGGAGCTGTCCTGCCCTCTGGTCCATGTAATGAAATAGAGGTGCTTTATATTACCACTTTTATGAATTCACTTTCCTCACCGGTTATTTTTTTTTAAAGCCTTGGGGGTGGCAGTATACTCTAGAGTGTGTTTTTAAATGACTGTTTTAAAGGAATGGAGACTAAGACATTGACTGTTCTGCTTTCTCCCATGGGATTCCTTCAGCCAGGTGATTTTGTACATACTTTGGGAGATGCTCATATTTACCTGAACCACATTGAGCCTCTGAAAACTCAGGTGAGTGCTATCTGTCTCACTTTTTGGTTTGGTACCCTCCCTTGGGAAAAAAGGCTGACTGGTAGAGCATCCTTGTGTGGATACTGTGTCCCAGATAGAGGCGACTGCTCTGACTGCAGGGCCTCCTTTTTAGGGAAGGGTGGAGGGCAGATGAGCAGGGATGAGGCAGGCCACGGGCACTGCACCTGACAGGTACTGTGAGGTACGAAGCATCAGTACCACAGGGTATCTTGGGCCACCTCAGAGGTGATATTTAACTCAGAATTTTACTTGAAGAATTGAAATGCAAATGTTCTCATTTTATGCTTCCTGACTCCCAGTAAAGAAAGATTTAGAACCAAGAACCTTTCAGCCCCTTCAGAGCTGAGTTTATTTGAAAGTCAGAGTTACGCAGAGAGAGAGAGAGAGAGAGAGGTCTTCCATCCGCTGGTTCACTCCGCAGTTGGCCACAATGGCCAGAGCTGTGCCAAGCTGAAGCCAGGAGCCAGGAGCTTCTTCCGGGCCTCCCACGTGTTTCTCCAGGCCATAGCAGAGAGCTGGATTGGAAGTAGAACAGCCGGGTCTCAAACTGGCGCCCATATGGGACGCTGGCGCTTCAGGCCAGGGTGTTAACCTGCTGTGCCACAGCGCCGGCCCCCAGAGCTGAGTTTTTAAAGTTACTCCTTTGCAGGGGCTTGGCTGCTTTTGAGTAGAGGGAGGGGTGACTTCTGTCTGCTCTTGTGTTGGACACGGTGATGTGAAGTTGTAACCTATGTGTCCATGTTCCGATCGCTGCTGTGTCAGCTGTCAGCAGATGTCTTCCCTTTTGCTTCCTGCCAGGGCCAGTTGTGATAGGGACTGTGGAAATCAAGTATCCACACTGAGTGCTACTGTGAGTTACAGACACAGAAAAGTAAAAGCCTGTGTCCCCAGCTTTAATTTACCAGGTGTGACAGTAAGAATTTACACCTGGTGAGCCACCAGGTTCCTGACACTGTGTAATGCCAACAGAGCACCCTTCACCCTGGAGCTGTGTGGGAGGATGCATAACCAGGGTTGAGGTAGCTGCAATCTTAACAGCCCTGTGAAGTAAAACCTTGTTGATTGAATGCTGCATACTTGTTGTATTAAGAGGCCCTGGGAACAGAATTAAGCCACCTTGTGCAGACATGGCCAAATCATGGTCTTAATTGTTTTTTGTTTGTTTGTTTGTTTTTGTTTTTTTAGCTTCAGCGAGAACCAAGACCTTTCCCAAAGCTCAAAATTCTTCGAAAAGTTGAGACGATTGATGATTTCAAAGCTGAAGATTTTCAGCTTGAAGGGTACAACCCACATCCAACTATTAAAATGGAGATGGCTGTTTAGTGTGTTTTCGCAATGGTTGTTGGAAGGATATTATCAGTCTTCAGGGGTTGGGCTAAAGGTGAAAGTTCTTTTTGCTCTAAAGGAGAAAGAAACTAGGTAAGAAATCCATCTGATCTTTCACTTATTATTCATTAACTTCTAAGAATGTTGCCACTGGCAAATATAACTTTGGTTCTTTGAGTAACAAAAAGATGAACCTGTTTAACTCTGAGAGTGTAGGAAAATGCTGAATTTATGAAGTGAGGAGTAGAAATGTATATACTCTTGAAATATGTACATATATTTTGATCTTGTCTTTATGAAAAAAGGTCAGTAAGTTTCAAGAATTGTGAATTCCTCCAAATTTGAGTGAGCTCATTGACACTGCCAATCATGATGTATAATGTGGTTATAACATTTAAAGTTACATTTGTTTTATATATTGCTATAATAAAGTGTTTGTATTTGTCCATGTCTTTTTCATTACTTATTGCTATTTATCTGCTTAGTCCTGCCTGAAAGATTAAACTAAGTCAGCAGATGTTGTATTCTCATTTGGATGCTACTTATAGGTTAATATATATTATCAAACTAATTAAAATATCTTATTGACTAAACAATACATTCTGCCCTGTTTTACACTGATTCAATTCATTTTAGCTGCATTTTGTCACTAAAATGTAAGGACCATTCAGGAGAGAGGTTTTTAAGGGGCAGGCATTTAGCCCAGCAATCAAGATGCTCCTGTTCATGTTTGAGTACCTGGGTTCACTCACCAGATCTGGCTCCCGACTCCAGCTTCCTGCTAGTGCAGACTCTCAGAGACAGCAGTGAGGCTCAAGTAGTTGAGTTCCTACCACCTATGTGGGAGACCTGGATTGAGTTTCCACCCCAGGCTTTGGATCCAACTGTTGTAGACATTTAAGGAGTGAACCAATAGATGGAGGCTATTAAAATAAAATTAAGAAATAATCTGGGGCCGGCACTGTGGCGTAGCGGGTAAAGCTGCCACCTGCATTCCCAGCATCCCATATGGGCACCGGTTTGAGTCCCAGCTGCTCCAGTTCCGATCCAGCTCTCTGCTATGGCCTGGGAAAGCAGCAGAAGATGGCCCAAGTCCTTGGGCTCCTGCACCCACGTAGGAGACGCAGAAGCTCTTGGCTCCTGGCTTCGGATCGGCACAGCTCTCCATGTTGCAGCCATCTGGGGAGTGAAGACATCTCTCTCTATGTGCCTCTGCCTCTCTGTAACTCTGCCTTTCAAATAAATAAATCTTTAAAAAAAAATCTGTGAAATTGTCATTAGTTTCAGTATAGTGTGAATTCTCTAATATCCTTAGACTGAACAAGAAAGGGATGTTAAACCACTCCAGGACTAATCAGTGGAATCTTTCCCTTTGTTGTATCACAGATACCCTGTGGTGCTGCAGAACTATTATTATTCTGCTGATTTATGACAAGTGTTAAATAGAGAAAAAAATGAAAAAACTTCCCAACAAATTATGCAGCATACTGCTTATTTTTAAAGTACAGTTTTAATGTCTAGGTACCTGCACTTGATAGAACATTTGGAAGAATACCTTCCCAGACTGTGTTAGGTAAATCTAGGTTTAAGGATTAAAGAGAAGCCTGTGGGTTGATTGGCTAGAAGAATCAAGTTGTCATTACTGAGTTCATTCCCAAGGTTAATGTCTTTCATTAACCTTGTGATGGGTAAGATACTCCTCCCCCACCGCCCCATCCTACTTATATAGCTGTACTAAAAGACATTTTAAGCTTTTTAGGGCTGAACACTTAATTTTCGTGAGCGGCATGGAGTCTCTTCCAGACTTCACCCTCTGGATACTGGTGTTTCTTCACAGATTCCTCCTTCATTTCGGTTGAATAGCCAGCAGCCTAGCAAAGACAAGAAAGTGAGTGGTGCCAAAAACACCTGGAACCAAAACATGTATTATGTGTTTCTGCTGCTACTACAGTGCTTTTAAATATAAGTCAGAGGTGTCAATATTTTATAAGTTTTATTTTATTAGAAAGAAGTCTCCTATCTGCTGGTTGACTTCCCAGATGTCCACCAAAGAGGATGCTGGGCCAGGCTCACTCCAGCAGAGGAACCCTGTCTGGGTCTCCCATGTGGGTGACAGGGACCCAAGTACTTAAGCCAACACCTACTGACTCCCAGGGTGTGCATAAGCAGGAAGCACGAATCAGGACTAGAACTCACCCACTCCTAATAAGGGTTTTAAATATAAATTTTCAGGAGCAGGTGTTGGGGCACAGCAGGTTAAGCTGCCACTTAGAATGCCAGTTTCCCATATCAAAGTGTCAGTTTAAGTCCCGGTTCCTCTGCTTTCAATCCAGCTACCTGCTAATGCACCTGGGAGGCAGTGCATGATAGCACAAGTACTTGGATTCCTGCCACCCATGTGGGAGACTGATGGAGGTCCTGGCTTCTACCTGGCCCAGCCCAGCTGTTGCAGGCATCTGGGGAGTGAACCAGCAGACAGATCTCTCTCTGCCTTTCAAGTAAATCTTTAAAAAAAATTTTTTTTCAGATTTTTTTGAAATAGGGCAGAGGGGCCACTATTGGCTACCTGCCAGGACGGGTAACTAATCAGGCTTCTTTGATAGTTCAATCTTTGACCTCTTGAACATGATAGGGGAACTTCCCCCGTAACGCAACTACAGTCAAACCTATAAGTCACAGACTTACAGCGTAGTGCTAGGTTTTTTTTTTTTTTTTTTGTGGGATTTTTTTGTGTACTACAAGGTGTATATGTTTTAAGGCCTCAACGAGAGAGGAAAAGCTAATCTGAGAGAATCTTTGTTGGCTAGTTTAACTTCCAAGCTCTGACCTTTAAGCCTTAGGAATTTGATTCTAGGTGCTAAAAATAAGCTCTACAGGGTAAAAGCTTTGTGGTGCAAGGGCTGGGTCGTGGGCACAGCCGTGGCTGGCAGCGTCTCTGGGAGGCCGCAGCTTACCTTAGGAGGCATGTAGGAAGCCTGCTTGATTGTCACAGGATACTTGAAGTGCTCGTGCAGGTGGTCGACGTATTCACACATCCTAGGAGGAAGAATCAGATCGGAACAGTGATGCCTGCAGTTAGATGATTCACGGGCTACTAAGCTGACTGTTGAGGCTCATCTGTGAGGCCATGTGCTTCTACACAAATCCCTTAACCTCTGTGCCCCCAGCTTCTCACAGATAAGACAGCGATGTGGGGGTTGAGATGAAATGAACCATGAAGTCCCTTGTAGCTCCAAAGGTTTTGTGATGTCCTGAACACATCAACTCAGGTTTCATAATTATTCCAATTACTCAGGTGCTTTTAGCCAAAAGTTAGGTGGATACATTTAAATTTCCAATTGAGGTTCCTTGCAGCTATCTGGATGATTCGAGTGAGCAGCTGTGCAAGGCAGGCCCTGAGCCCAGTGCTGGGACTACATGGGAACTGGTGGGAGAGGGCCACATGGCTTCAGTGGACAGACGCTAGCCGCTGACTGTACCAGGTGCTGTGTCGGCTATGGCGAGCAGGATGGGGGTGGGGGAAGACCCAGCCATGCGCCAAAGGACAGCTGAGCTTTGGACAAGCAGGGAGTCGACTGAGTACAGCGGGCCTGAAGCGTGACAACAGGCCGTGCGGCTGCTGGAGGCAGTTCTGCTCCGGGGCCCTTCCTGAGCAGCAAGGCCTGCACAAGGCACCAGGGACCTCAGACCTGCAGGGCTTTTCCTGGTTGGACAGAACCTCCTTGGGAACTGAAATCAGAGGACCAAAGGCAGAATAATGCAGGGATGTTAATCTTCTTCCTTATAGACAGAGGATGACAATTGAAAGGGAAGAGAAAAACGATCCAGTCTCAACCTGCATCTTCCAGGTGAACAGACTCAGATAACCAGTGGCAGCATCGGGACTAAGGCCCAGATGTCCTGTTTGATCTAACATTCTGCAGAGGATAACACAGCTCAAATACTAAAAGGCAGCACCTGTCTGCGCGCCTCCCAGCTCAAGAAAGAGACTGTTGCAGTTACCAGGAAAAGTCCCCGAGCACACTGCCGGATCCCATTTCTCTCTCAGCCCAGCATTTGGTGTTTACATTTCCCGTGCTATTTTTACGCTTTCACCGCTTGCTGCTTGTGATCTTTCTGCGATACAGTTAATTCCAGGAGACAGGAAAAGCATAATAAGCCAAGCTTTCCATGAGCAGATGACTGGAAGGAGCACACCCCGAGAGTAAGATGAGAGATGTGGCCGGATCGTGGAAGACCCCATTGTTGGGAAGAGGGGACCGGACAGAAGTGGAGGGTATGCGGATGCCCAGAGCCCAGCTTCAGAGAGTTGGCAATGGCTGCTGCTGGAGGGAGGAGTTCTGGGTGCAAACTTCTTCCCTACCAGGCTTACAAAGCGAAGTGAGCTAGCCACATTCATTTCCTGAATGAAAAATTTGTGGTGTTTTTTTTTTATTATTTTTAAAGTTTATTATTTGAAAGTGACAGACAGAGGGAGAGACAGATAGAGATCTTGCATCCACTGGTCACTCTCCAAATGGCTGGTGCTAGGCCAGGTGGAAGCCTGGAATCTGGAACTATATCCAGGTCTCCCGTGTGGATGGCAGGGGCCCAAGCACTGGGCCCATCTTCTGTTGCTTTCTCAGGTGAATTAGCAGGGCACTAGATCAGAAGTGGAGCAGCTGGTACTCAAACTGGTGCTCCAATATGGGATGCTAGCGTTGCAAGTGGTGCCTTAACCTGATGTGCAACAATGCCAGCCCCCATGGTAGGTTTCTGTTGTTACTGCCCATATAGAAAGAACTCTGGGAGCAGTGACTGATGACTTCCTATATGGGTGCCAGTGTCGCTCCCCGTCTTCATGGGGGAACGACACAGGACCCTGCGCTGTTCTTTCGTCTGCTCGGCCCTCCCCGGGTTTGCTGCTGGTTCTTCCCGGGCTGGCTACTATCCCTTCCACCTCCGTGGAAGGGCAGTTCCCCCTGGCCACATTCCCCACTTCCGCAGGGGAGCAGCACACCGCCGGCCAACTCTTCTCGGGGGGCTGCACGGGTTCCCTTAGATGTTCCCCATAGATGTTCCTGGTGCATGCCGTCTCTCTCCTCCTTTATAGTCCTCCTCCGCCAATCCTAACTCGGCTGCCCACACGCCGAGTACGCTGCTCTCCAATCAGGAGCAAGTCCTACAATTTATTAGTTGAACTGGAGGCAGCTGTGCGGAAGCTGTTTACTTCTCTCCCAGCGCCATATTGTGGGAGAGCAGATGCATAGAATAAGTCTTAATTTCAGTAACTTAGTCCAGTCCGGATTGCTCCCCACATGCCAGTTCATGTCCGTCTGCTCCACTTCCAATCCAGCTCCCTGCTAATCGCCTGGGAAAAGCAGTGGAGGATGGCCCAAGTACTTAGGCCCCGCCACTCACTTGGGAGATGAATGAGGCTCCTGGCTCCTGGCTTTGGCCCAGCCTAGTGGATGGAAGGTCTCTCTTTCTCCCTTTCTCTCTGTCTCCTCTCTCTCTAACTCTTTCAAATAAGTTAACAAAAAACAGTGGAAGCAAAACAAACTTGGCCTTTGAGTTCTAAGATGTGCCAGAGCACAGAATTCAGCGTGCCTCGTCAGGGAGACAATTTTACAAGCTCTGTCCTGGAGCTGGGGACACTACTGAAGGCGAAGGTGTAGTTAGCACCACGTTACTGACCTGTTTTTAAGGCTTGCAGAGACTGCTATGTAGTCAAATATAATCAAGTGCTGGACCAGTTCACAGAGGCCGACGCCACCAGCATGGGGGCAAACAGGAACTAAAAGGAAGACAGATTTCTATTTAATGCTGAGAGGAGGGCAGAGAGAGGAAGGGCTGAAAGAGAATCCGGGGTTTTTCTTAGTGCCGTCAGGTGATTAAATAATTTGTTAATATTATGAAATGATGAAAATCAAAGATTCCTTGATTAAGGCTAAGCAGAAATTAGAAAAAAAAAATCAAAGTGACAAACTATAGAATTGCAAAGACCAAGAAGGAACCACAAGCGTCCAAAGGCAGGGGGAGTGGAGGTCCAGACTGCGGCCTCGGCAACACCCTTACTTCCAAATTTTTTGGCCATCAGTATCACTGAGAGGTTCTCATTGACACTTCCCAGTCTGCAGCTGTCAATCTGGAGAAACTGCAGGGCATTCGCCTGTAGGAGCTGCTTAAATATCACTCTATTGTGGCACTGGAAATAGAATTAAAAAGAACATCAGCAGGAGAGTCAGCCCTCTGATCCCTGTCAGGATCTCTCAGCCTGGAGACTGTTACTCATCAGCGGCCTTCGGGAAGCCTGGGCATGAGGAGCCGTGACAGTGCAGGCAGGGACCTTGTCCTCACTTCCTTACAAGTCTGCTAATGGAACTTAGGAGTCAGGTAGCAGTCACAGCATGTTGCCATTTATTAAGAAATAATTGTCTTCTCGACTGGCAGGTGGGAGGGGAAGCAGAGCATCAGGGTGAAATATGGTGACGGCAATGAGCAGGTGGCATTGACAGCAGAACAGAAACATGGCAGAGCAGTGCTGGGAAAATCAAGCCTCTGTTCCGTGCACTGCTCTGCCCGGGGGCTGACTGCAGCAGGTCTGGGCAGGCATTTGGGCTTGGCTGATAAGCACCAGAAGCGTACGCCATCATGTGTATTCCATCTGGAAGCTGGCTGTCTTGTAACCACTGCATGCCCTTGTAATGCAACATTACACTGCTGACTTTGCAACTTTCACTAGCTACCTCGGAAAACATCAATGACCTTGGACATGGCAATTGTAGAAAAAGCCACAAACGTTTGATGATATTGGACTCTAGACTAATGAAGTGTAGTAAAATGATGTAATTTCTGGGGACATGGTGGCGAAAATGGGTCAGGCCACTGCCTGCAGTGCCAGCATCTCACTTGGGCTCCAGTTCAAGTCCCAGTTGCTCCACTTCCAAACCAGCTCCCTGCCAATGGCCCGGGGAAGCAACAGAAGACAGCCCAAGCCTTTGAGCCCCTACACCCACATGGGAGACCAGGAAGAAGCCCTGGCTTCTGGCTTTGTCCTGGCTCAGCCCCAACCATTGTAGCCACGTAGGGAGTGAAGCAGAGGATGGAAGATCTCTCTCTCCCTTTATCTCTAACTCTGCCTTCCAAATAATTTTTTTTTAAAAAAAGGATGCAATATCTGAAAGGATGGAAATTTCCCAGCTCAAGGTACAACAGGTTCCGCAGCCGAACGCATAACTGTGTCCTCAGGAGGTAGTCAGTGTGTGGCAATCCTAATGAGATGCCACTCACCTGTTCCCCAGTGGCAACACCAATTCCTAGTGGGACCAGCGCCTGCAAGATAGAAGCAGCCTGGAGTTATTTTCCCAAGTTTTGAACTGAAGCTCCTAATGTTTAAAAATATTTGTAGCTGAGGAAGGAAGCAGCCCTGCTGTTGAGCCATGTGAAGTTTGAAGACTGGCAGAAGGCGCTGGGGGAACACGAGTGTGGGGGAGGGCTGTGTCCGCAGGGGAAAGCAAGCACTGCTCGCATGCTCTCATCGCCTTCTGCAGTGTCCTGGCCTGCGCCCCCCTCCCTGGGCCTGTGCAGTGGGGTAAAACTGTGAGGAGATACAGCCACTCAGCAGTGGCTCCCCACTGAATCATGGGGTCCAACCTCTGCTGACCCCTTCCTGGGGGGGTCACCACTCCCTTGAGTCCCTTCTGCCATTGTTCTAGAACCTTCTCAATCTTCAGTTCCAAAACCCTCCCAGCTCAGTGGACTGAGGCCCTTGCTCACCGGCTGAACTCAACTGGTCGGTGCTGGACTCTTCACCTGCACACAGTGCCCTGTTCTCTGTCCTCTCACCTGCCACCTGGGCCCTCCCCTCCTGCCCTCCTGGGCTTGTGACTCCACAGTTAGTCTTCTTAGGTAGCTGGTTTCTCCAGGGGTTTTCCGTGCCTTGGTTTAGGATGATAATTTCAACAACATGAAAAGCTAACACTTTCTGAGCACCTACTACCTGCCAGGCACTGCAATACACTGCAGCCAATGATTCCTGGTCACACCCCAGTGGGCGAGGAGCCACCATCACCCCTGTTTTACAGGTGTTCAGGGTGAGAACTGCTCCCGGTCCCAGAGCTAGAAAGTAACAGAGCAGGGGCTTGAACTCTAGGCTGACGGTGGAGCCAGGGGAGGCATCCGACTCGTCAGACTAAGGCACCTTTTCAGCAGAAAGCGCCCTTCATTTAGAAGCCAGGTGTGCTGCTCCAACACTTGTCCTGCTCTGTGAGGTGTGCGGACCTGGGCAAGGCGTACATGTGCCACCCGGAGCCGTGCTTTCCTGGGTGCACAAGGGCTAGCCTGAGCAGATGGTCTCCAAGGCACCTTCTTGCGTGAACATTCTGTGTCTCCCCCAGAAGACTAGAAAAGCCTCCAGGTCTGGACTTGCCTCAGGTCCTTTCCGCCTGTTCCTCGCCTCCCATCTACTGGTCTCAATCCACCCTGAAGGTTGCTGGCACTCGCATCCCCTGGAATTCCAGCCGTCACTATGCCATTGTCTCATTCAAGAAGTGTCAGCGACTCGCTCTCTTCGGCTGCGTCCTCTGAGTGGACGGACCCCGTCATCTGGCCCCAGGGCCCCTGCATTCCCTCAGACATCCTCATGCGGCCCCGCCTGCACCTGCCATCTCTATAGCTGCCCCCCTGCCTCGGATGCCGGCTAACGGGATGACATCCCATATAAGCAAAACCTTGCCAGGTCAAAGCCCAGAAACGCCTCTGAAGAAGGCCATGGTTGTTTCTGGCTCCTGCTCCCTCCCTTCCCCTGTAGCTTTGCGTTCCTTACAGAGTCAGCTCTGCTCTCCCCTCCACAGGGCCTGGCCACACCCAGTTTATGAGCGTGCATGGGAGCACCCCTTCTGGAACACAGAGCCATGGCTCCTCAATCAGAATTAAGTTTTTAGGATCAACACACAATGGCTATGCAAAGCCACCTCAGGGGAAAAAAATTGTTTGGGGCCTGTAGTACTGTGGCACAGCAGGCAGTGCTGGCATCCCATATGGGCACAGGTTCATGTCCTGGCTGCTCCACTTCTGATCTAGCTCCCTGCTAATACGCCTGGGAAGCCATGGAAAATGGCTCAAGTCCTTGGGCCCCTGCACCCACATGGGAGACCTGGAGGAAATTCTTGGCTCCTGGGCCTGACTCAGGCCTGGCCATTGCAGCCATTTGGGGAGTGAACCAGTAATTCTTCCAAATAAATAAATAAATCTTTTAAAAAAAAAATGTTCCTAAACAAGTAGGTCCCGTATAATGGAACGAGTGTGTAGCCCCGAGGAACCATGTGATGGGGAACGCGAAGGGGCATGCCGGGCAGACGTTGGCTGGACCTGTGCTCAAGAGGAAAGAGATCGATTAAGACAATGACCGGTGACCAGAGGCAGGGGTTCTGCACTCGGAGCTGAGTGTCCTGGGCTACTGCGGGGTGACAACATCGAACAGTCAAATCCATGGCCAGGCCCTGCCACGATTCCTTACCCAGCTAGCCGTATGTGGCTTAATACTGCATCTTAGAGTTTGCTGTGGTCAGGGGATGGGAAACACAGGAGCTACAGTTCTCCTTGGGAATTCACAGTCTGGCTTTGTAGATCAGTGCTGGGAGTTTCCCGAGATACAAGGGACTGTTTCTCAGATGTTCTCAGAGGCCAGCTCCCAGTTAGGGCAGATGTGTCCCGACAGCACCGGGCAGCAGGCAGGCAGCCTTCTCCCAGGGGCCTGACCTTGACATTACCTAACCAAATCTTTTCTTGGGAGTCATCCAGAGGAATGTACATTTTTTGTTTCACTGTGGGTGAATAAAGTATTTAAATACCAGTCACATTTCTTTACTTACAAAGTGTGGGAACCACGTTTACTAGCCTTGCACTGCAGTAGCCTTTCAACTTTTAACAATTTACTTTCTCTAAAATGAAAATATGCAAGGGCCTTGGATAAGCTACAGTGGATACAAGGATGTCAGATCTGTGACTCCCGTGTGCATCACATAAGAGGGAACAACAGGAGGAATTTTAGCATCTGTCACCACCACTCTGGAAATGAAGAGAAAATATTAATGGCTGTGGGAACAGAAGCAGGGGTTTTCCTACCTTGGAAATGGTAGCATGCCCCAGAATGTCATCGGGGGATGTCGGCTCCTCAATCCACAATGGCTTGAACTCAGCCAGCTTTGACATCCACTCCACCGCCTCGGGCACGTCCCAGCGCTGGTTGGCATCCATCATCTGTCAGGAGAGACCCTTCATAGTGGGGGGGGGGGGGGGGGGGGAGTGCACACCTTTGTGGCTTCCAGAGAGGAAATGCTGTTATCTGGTGCCACCACCTGCTGAGTGTGGCTCCCCTGACAATTCTGCTAAGGCCCGGCCCTCCGCTCTAACAAATGGACCAAAGGGCAGCCTCAGAGACTGGAACTCTGGCTCCATGAACTATCTTTTGAAGGAAATACAAACTGTCCAATGAGCCGCAGTGAATTCCAGAAGCCCAGGCCATGGGAAATGTTCACTGGCCCTGGAGCTCAGGCCCAGTGCATTTATCTGCCCCACAAATAAGCGGATTTCAAAATGCTTGTGGGAAATGGAAGTAAGACATTTATTTATTTTAGTGTCAAAAACACATGTTGAAATCCATGCATCATTTTCTTTTTCATAACATACGTTTTCCATGAATATTTGAAGACCACTCCTTTGTGTGCTGTCTTACGGTGCTGTTTGGAAGAAGCGTTCATCTTCCTCAGAGTTATACTGTAGTCAACCCTGAGTTGTTCAATAGCATCTGGCACAGTAACAAATAACCCACACTCTACCATTCACAGAGCATCTGCTCCACTAGGCACTATATGGATTCTTCCCCATTTAATACTTCCAATAACCCTAAAGGCAATTCATATTAACCCGATTTACAAAGCAAGCAGACATGCGGAGAAGTAACTTGCTCAACAGTTAGTCAAGTCAGTGGTGAGTTCAAGTCCAGGCCCAGGTGTCTGCATGCAGCCATCCTGCCTGGAAGCCAGGTGCTGGGTGTGCTAACCTTGAGAGGGCCCTCCATCCCCTCACAAGCCCCATCATGCTAGCAGAAGACAGAGAAACAGAGGTCTCCATAGAATGTGCTAAGTGGGAAAAGTACACGTAGATCAATTTTTATCATAAATTATTTGGATGAGGATGATGTCATGAAACAAAAGCAGCATTAATTCATCTATAAATAATGGGACTTCTGATCCTAAGGCAAGGATCCCAAGCTTCCATTTTAACTTATGAAATGAGCCTCTAAAACTTCATGGCTTATGTAACCAGTGCTGCAGAATTTAAAAACTAAAAACCATCAGCCTTGATTTTTTTAAAAGCATTTTAAAGAGTTCACCTCCTATAAGATGACAAGCTATACTCCACTGACAATAACTTTTTAAATTCCCAGTGTTCTCTAATCCTTGCTTGAAACGAACTGCGTTTTGGCCCTGGTCAAAGGCTGGTATTCTCAGTGGTGTAAAGGATATTTACCAGAGTCTTCTCTGGTCCAATCATGTCTCTGATGAGGCGGCATCGGCGCATGTCATCCTGGAGATCAGCACCCACCTTTACTTTAAACCTGTTACGACACATACGGTTGAGCACTTCAGATCTATCCAATCTGGCAAAAACCTGGATTTTCTGCAGATGTGGATGTCCCTGTCAGTAATTCAGAGAGCAACCATTGTGGCACAATGGGTTAAGCCCCCATGTGGGATGCCCACATCCCAAATGGGAGTGCTAGTTCTGAGAGTCCTGGCCATGCCACTTCTAATCCTGCTTCCTACTAATGCATCCTGGGAGGCAGCAGGTGATGGCTCAAGTGCTTGGGCCCCTGCCACCCATGTGGGAGACCTGGATGGAGTTCCTGGCTCCTGGCTTTGGCCTTGTCCAGTTTGGTTGTTGCAAGCATTTGGGAACTGAACCCCCAGATGGAATCTCTCAATCCCTTTCCTCTTTCCCTCTCTCCCTCTCTTTCTTTCTCTCCTCTCTCTCTCCTTCTCTCTCTCTCTCTCTCTCTGTTTATGTGTGTGTATTGCTCTGCCTTTCAAATAAATTTTTTAAAATAGACCACATTTTCTAGTAACCTCTTGCTCTTCCCCATCAATCTTCGGACACATCACTAAGAAAGGAAATAAACCTGCAACTGGTACGACTTTACTCACTTTAAGGGCCATCACTCTCAATTATCTGCAGAACTGCAGTTAAGGAAATGAAGGGAGAATTAGGTTTTGAATATGACTGAGTTTTTAGTGTGCCCTGAAAAGGAAATAAAAAAAAAAAGCCACAATCAGAATTGAAAAGGGAAAGTGAGGCCCCCTTTATAGCTTGACTCAAGAGTCTGATTTATAAAGTGCTGACATCAGCACAGCCCTCCACACAGAGGGCTTCACCTTAAATTAACTCATGGAGGCAGAGGCCACAGGCCTAGTCCATCCCCAATGTGCAGGGACCTGAGGCTCAGGGAGGGCCAGAGACTAGGTCACATTACTGGGGAGCAGCAGAGGCTACCTCCAGGGAGCTCTCCCTGAACTAGTAAGTCTTGTTTATTTTCATGTGAAAGGCAAAGAGACAGAGAGAGAGCGAGAGCTTCCACCTGCTGTTTCACTCCCCAAATGCCCTCAACAGCCAGGGTACCCCATCCAAGTCTCCCATGTGAGTGGCAGGGACTTCAGTACTGAGCCATCGTCTACTGCCTCCCAGGGTGTGCATTAGCAGGAAGGTGGACTGAGAGCAGAGGAGCTGTGACTGCAGCCAGGCACTCCATACATGGGGTGCAGGTGACCCACACAGCCAGTAAACTGCTGTGCCAGAAAGTCCATCGCTCCTTGAACTATTCTCTTGAGGAGTGGGCTTTAACATCCAGACTATGCCCTCAGAAGAGTGTCGTTGGCCCAAAAAGTGGGCCCCCACGTTCGTGGTCAAGGCTGTTCCCTCTACTGTTCAAAGTACCCCACCTTTCTGCCCCCAGGGTGAAGAGAGACCCCTTCACTTAGTGCTTCTGTTCTCTCCCTGCACTCAGCACACAACCCACTAACGAAGACATTTCCATACCAGATGGAACTTCAACTCCACGAGTCCCCAGAGGCCAGGCTTCCTGCACTGGGAGAGCTGTGAAATCTCTCCGGATCCCTCACTCAGCAGATGCGGCTCCTCCTGCCTCGCCTGGGTGTGTGGGAGGACTGAAAGCAAGCTCTTACTGCACCTGCGCTGAATCCACCCTGTGCCAGTCCTTGCCAGACACGGCAACTTGGGGAGAGCCCTGAGCTAAGACTGTCTCTATTTCACAGAGTGAGAAAATGAGGCCGAGAAAGGCTGACCAGCTTGCTCCGTTCACACAGTTAATACTTGCAGGGGATGAGGGCAAAGGGGAGATGAGATCCCTGTTCTGTCAGATGCCAAAGTCCCTTGCCACTGCGTCTCTCTGCCTCCTTCACGTTCTCACTCAACCCTTTAGTCAGGCCAGTTTACCAAGAATTCAGCACCTCTTAAACTGGAACCACCCAGGGATGTTGGCAGGTTTGGATGCAGCAGGCGAGTGCCTTGGGAGGTTAAACTGGCCCCTCTAGATTTGACTGAGCCAGAGCTAATGGATTTCTGTTCTACAGTGGTGCTTGCAATCAATGATGTCCATGCTCTCTCCCAACCCCGATGCTCTAGGATTCCAATCAGGGCTCCCACCTCGTCTTAGAGAAAGAGTGGTGTAGGCTGACACATCCTTGGCATCTAACATAGGGCGCCCTCTGTCCTCATTAACCCTGAACTGCTCTCCACTGCCTGAGTCCCTTGTACCACAAACCGGCAAAGTCAAATCCATCACGGCCCAAATAACTCACCTGGTCCAGCCGTCCTTCAGTGCCTCTGCGCAGCGCTGTGGGGGAGGGAGCACACCTGTCAGCACATTGAGAAGCTCCTGGGGTCGGGTGAGGCCCTCCGTCAGTTTTGAGCTCCCAAACATTAAGGCTGTAGCATAAACTACATGTACACCTCTGCTAATGGTCCGGGAAAGCAGCAGAAGGCCCAAGTAGCAGGGCTCCTGCCACCCACATGGGAGACCTGAAAGAGGCTCCTGGCTTCAGCCTGGGCCAGTGCTGGCCATTGCCGCCATCTGTGGAGTGAGCGAACAGATGGCAGATTTCTCTCCCTGTCTCTCCCTCTCTCTCTGTAACTCTAACTTTCAAAATAAATAAATAAATCTTTTAAAACACATACACACACACACACATACAGGAACACCCATGTTTAGCTGAAGTTAAGAGCAGAAGCAGGGCTGGCGCCGTGGCTCACTAGGCTAATCCTCCACCTTGCGGCGCCGGCACACCGGCTTCTAGTCCCGGTCGGGGCGCCGGATTCTGTCCCGGCTGCCCCTCTTCCAGGCCAGTTCTCTGCTGTGGCCCGGGAGTGCAGTGGAGGATGGCCCAAGTGCTTGGGCCCTGCACCCCATGGGAGACCAGGATAAGTACCTGGCTCCTGCCTTCGGATCAGCGCGGTGCGCCGGCTGCAGTGCGCTAGCTGCGGCGGCCATTGGAGGGTGAACCAACGGCAAAAGGAAGACCTTCCTCTCTCTGTCTCTCTCTCACTGTCCACTCTGCCTGTCAAAAAAAAAAAAAAAAAAAAAAAAAGGCAGAAGCAGGCCAGCATTGTAGGGGGTAAAGGTGCGGCCTGCAACACCGGCATCCCATATGGTCTCCAGTTTGTGTCCTGGTTGCTCTATTTCTGATTCAGTTCCCTGCTAATGGCCTGGGAAAAGCAGCAGAAGATGACCCAAGTGCTTGGGCCTCTGCCACTCATGTGGGAGAACTGGATGAGACTCCTGGCTCCTAGTTTTGGCCTGGCCATTGCAGCCATCTGGGGAGTAAACCAGTGGATGGAAGATTTCTGTCTCTTTAACTCTCCTTCTCTCTCTGCTTAACTCTGACTTTCAAACACCTAAATGAATCTTTACTTAAAAAAAAAAAAAGCAGAAGGAACTACTTAGCCAACAGCACAATTCTTTCTACTTGCCTCTCTTTCCTCATTTCTACGGGAACCATGTCTTTGTCACAATTTTTCTGGAAGGGAAATGTGGCATTAACATCCCCCCCCCCTTTTTTTTTTTTTTTTGACAGGCAGAGTGGACAGTGAGAGAGAGAGAGAGAGAGAGACAGAGAGAAAGGTCTTCCTTTTCCATTGGTTCACCCCCCAGTGGCTGCTGCAGCCGGCGCACCATGCTGATCCGAAGCCAGGAGCCAGGTGCTTCTCCTGGTCTCCCATGTGGGGGCAGGGCCCAAGCTCCCGGGCCACAGCAGAGAGCTGGCCTGGAAGAGGAGCAATCGGGACAGAATCTGGTGCCCCGACCGGGACTAGAACCCAGTGTGCTGGTGCCACAGGCAGAAGATTAGCCTATTGAGCCGCGGCCAACATCCCTCCTTTTAAAACTGGGATACTCTGTGGCATTCACAGAGCCAATGGATGAGAGAGCAACAAGCAGAAGTCAGCTTCCCCCGCTGCTCCCCACCCTTCCCCCCTCCCCGCCTCTAAGGTGAGAACAACACAATGAGGAAGAGTAAGAGATGAAACATGTGCTGACTATATGCCATGTTCCAGCCACGGTATATCTCACCACATTTATCTGAATCCTCAAAACCACCCCATCTACCATTATTTCCCTACTTCACATGAGGATACTGAGGCCCAGCTTGGTTAAGTGACTTGCAAAATGGTGCAAGGCTGGCTTTCCCTGGAATCAAATCCCAGGCTGTCACCTTCCAGAGCCCAAGGTAGAGATCATGAAGGCACAGAGTCCCAGTGTCCAGGATATGAATGGCTTTATTTTTGTTCATTCATAGGTACTTTCAGAATGAAGTCCTGGATCCAAAATGATTTATAAAGGCTAACAAGGGGGGCTGGCGCTGTGGCATAGTGGGTAAAGCCGCCACCTGCAGTGCTGGCATCCCATATGGGTGCCTGCCAGTTCGAGTCCTGGCTGCTCCACTTCTGAACCAGGTCTCTGCTATGGCCTAGGAAAGCAGTAGAAGATGGTCCAAGTGCTTTGGCTCCTGTACCTGCATGGGTGACCTGGAGGAAGCTCCTGGCTCCTGATTGGCACAGCTCTGGCCTTTGTGGCCATCTGGGGAGTGGACCAACAGATGGAAGACCTCTCTTTCTCTCTCTGCCTCTCTTTCTCTCTGTGTGTAACTGATTTTCAAATAAATAAATAAATCTTTTAAAAAAATTTGTTTAAAAATCAAGTCTCAAGGGGTAGGAGTGCATGGTGACTGCTCCAGCCAGAGGTCACAAGCTGAGCTGACAACCTGGACTTGCATGACTGGCGTCTGAAGTGGGGCAGTGCTGTGGATTGAGTCTTCAACCTGCGGAGTCCCAGAGAATGCCAGGCTGGCAGTGTAAGAACTGAATGGAGGGGCCGACGCTGTAGTAGTGGGTAAAGCTGCCGCCTACAGTGCTGGCAGCTCATATGGGTGCTGGTTCAAGTCCCCACTTCTGATCCAGCTCTCTGCTATGGCCTGGGAAAGTAGTAGAAGATGGACCAAGTGCTTGGGCCCCTGTACCCACGTGGGAGATCTGGAAGAACCTCCTGGATCCTGGCTTCAGATTGCCACAGCTCCAGCCATTGCGGCCAACTGGGGAGTGAACCAGCAGGTGCAAGATCTCTATCTCTCTCTACCTCTCCCTCTCTCTGTGTAACTCTGACTTTCAAATAAACAAATAAATCTTTAAAAAAAAAAAAAAAAAGAACTGAATGGAACAGAAGGACACCAAGGTGCTGTCCATGGAGACTGGAGAACAGGTGGGGGTGGGAGACCACCCCACATATACCAGGCATCAGAAGGAAGGGACAGAACATAGCACTGTGGGCAAAACAGAAGGGGAGACAGTTTGCTCCCCCCCCTTCAGCCCGTCCACAAAACCAGGTGAAAGAACTCACCTGCTTCAGCGTGTCATCTGAGTACCCCAGCCAGGCGCACGACGTGGTGTAAGCAGGGTAGCCGTGTGTCAGCATTTGCTCTTCTGCAAAAACACAACACTTCCCAGGGATCTCCGGAATTAGAACCACCTGGAGCTAAGCTGGTGCCCACAGACAAGTACCCAGGCACCAGTCCAGCCTCGTGGGGACTTCAAACCTGGGTGATCGGGATATCCTAAGGGCCCTCCCTGCCCACTGTGTGATACAGAAGCCAAACTTCCTTCCAGCTCTGCAGTCGGAGGTCACACCCCGAAGGCTTCTTCACCCAGCCCCACATATCTGTGCAAGGGCCTCGCTGCCTGGCACGGGGCATCTGGGAAAACCATGACCACTCCCAACAGACAGGCACACTCCAAAATGGACAATGACAGCAAACGTAAGGAAAGGAAAGGAAAGTTCTCCTGACCCACCTCTTTCTTTTTTACCAACTTGAGCTTGCTGCAGTATGTCTGGAAAAAATGAAAAGCATCACTTGTTCTTTCAGACAACAAAGCACACAGCTACCAAGTGTGTGTGTCAGGGTGACCAGAGGGGGGCTCACTGCACCCCGCAAGTGCCACTCACCGTAGGCATCCTCCTCGGTCAGGACGTCAGTGATGTACCTGAAGTCGATGCAGGACAACAGCGTCCTGGGGTCCTGGCAGCAGGACAGGAGGGGAAAGGGCCCAGTCAATTCACGGGAGGATTAAGTGTCTAAGAAGCGGCTCAGAGGGACCCATGGAGCTCACGCCTTCCACAAAGGGACCTTCGAGGCTGGTGCTCCTGGGATGTTGTTCCTTCCGGGGCTCTCACTGCCCCTGACAAGCCCGAAGAGCCTCAGGCCCTGAGGTCTTGCTCCCTGCTTCTGCCCCATTCCTTTCCAACTAACACGGCTTCCTGAGAGAGGACCCGACTCAAGGCGAACACTCAGTGCGAGATCCACATCCTGTTTTTCTGCTGCAGCCCTCAGGCCGACCTGCAGGGAGCGCAGAGTGGATGAGGGAGGCCAGGGAGCAGCCTCGTGGCTGAGGAGAGAAGGCTGCTCTTGTCACCCGGCACCCAGCGCAGCCCTGGCCCAGCCCTTACCGGCAGCACATGCTTGGGCAACATCTTTGGAGAAACGACGCTAATTCGCTTTACTAACAGGAAGGGAGTGGATGAAGGGGAGGGCGCCAAGTCTTCTTCCTGGATGATGGCTGTATATGCTCCAGGCCTGCCCTTGCTTCCCTGCCATGCAGGGCTCTGGCCAGACAGGAAAAGCTGCCATCTTGGCTGGACCCTGCTGTGAGTCCTCTCCCCAGCCCAACACAACAGTCATGTGGAAAACCACGGGTGGGGGCTGGTATAATAGATTAAGCTGCTTCCTGCAATGCCAGCATCCCATACTCAATCCTATATACAATAACTGTGAACGACCTCACAAGCTCTCTCAGCCCTGAAATCCTGCTACTTGTAACAAACAGGTCCAGCATTGGGGCTGGTGTTGTAGTATAGCGGGTAAGGCCTCCACCTGCGACGCCAGTATCCCAGATGGGCATCAGTTTGAAGCCTGGCTGTTCCACTTCTGACCTAGCTCCCTGCTAATGACCTGGGCAAAGCAGCAGAAGATGGCCCAAGTACTTGGGCCCTAGCCACCCACTTGGGATACCTGCATAAAGCTCCCAGCTTTGGTCTGGCTCAGCCCTGGACATTGCAGCCATCTGGGGTGTGAACCAGCAGATGAAAGATCTCCTTTTCTCTATCTCTTCTTCTCTCTGTAACTGACTTTCAAGAAAAGAGTCCTAGCATTGAAATGGGACCTAAAAGCCAGAAAGTCCACAGCTGAGGCCTCAGGACCTTTTCTGGTGACTCTTAAATCATCTGTTTTGGCAGCCACCAACCACACAGCCCTGTGACAAGCTGATCTTGGAGCTGGAAGGTGGCTCCTGAGGCCCGAGCTGCCCTCTGCCACAGCAGACAGCTGGCGTGACAATGTCACAATTTTTCTGGCCTCCAGAGGAGGAGCAAAGTCTACTGGTTCCACAACCTTTAACAACATGCTGTAGGTTTTCCTTTAATTTTGCTGCTAAATAAAAAAAGAAAAACAAGGGCCTTCATTTGTAGCCAGATTTCTGGCAACCACCCAAGATATCACCCACGGGTGGCTGCAGCCAGAGTGGGTAAGCACTGGGCCCCAGGTCCCCCTGCTAGTCACTGGTGAGGCTCAGACCCAAAGCCAGGCCCCCTGAGTCCACTCTGCTTTAAGTTGCCCACAGCGTTTTTGTCCTCAGCAGGTGTTCGTCCCTGCTGTTAACAGGTCAAGGAGAAGGGTGCGTATCTTTAGAATTCAGTGTTGAGCTCCCTGGCTGCTGGAACTGCTCAGCAGAGACCATAACAGTCTGGATGGTGTGGCGAGTACTTTTCTAATCGGGTCTTCAGTTCTGTGGGGTTTCCAGATGAGCTGTAATGATCCTCCTCACAGCCACGCATCACGTGGTGTGCATCCACAGGGGGCCCTTTTCCCGTGGAGCCACCCTGCCTGCCTGAGCACGGCCCTCTTCTGCTTCAGCTACCAGAGGCGGAACACTCTAGTCTACTGCGATATTACATTCCTACTGCTTTATCACCGCCACGGTGATCCACAGGCACTCCTGCACACATTCACCATTATCAAAAGGCAAGTAATCCTCAAAACACACTGCATTTACAGACACAATTAAAACATTAGAGGATCTACTCACCATGTCCACAAGCAACTTCCATAGGGGCTTAAGAAAACAGAAAACATTTGTCAAATGTGTGAGTGTGAGGCACCCATTTTCCTCCTGACAACAAATGCATTGGAGGCAAACTCCGCTCCCAGACATCTGTCCACCTCCCCATCCCTAAGGCTGCCCACACCTTCTGCTGCCTCCAACCCTTCTCTTTTGCTATTCCTTCCCCCCCTCCTCAGCCCTTCCTAACCTGCTCCTACAGTTTCTGAACTACTGCCAACATCGCTAGGGCAGAACAGGGCAGGGAATCTGAACAATCCTTCAGAGACCTGCAGTGCAGCTGCCTTTCGCCTTTAGACGGCTGCTTGTAGAGAAGACCACAGGTTGTCCTGTGCTGGAGCCCAGGCGAGGGTGTGAGGTGATTACCTTTCCCTCCTGCTTGGCCCACAGGTCCCACACGGCGTTGAGGACAGCCGCTGTGGCCAGGTGCACCACGCCTTTCTCGGGACCGATCTGGTGGGGAAGGAAAGTGCAACAGCCTGACTTAGACTTGAAAAGGACATTTAGGTCTTCTAGCCATGGGCATGCTCCAAGGATTGAAAAAGCAGCGGTGGAAACTCACAGCTTAAAGTTTTTAAAAAATAGCTTCTAATTTACAAAAGACTTGCAAAAAGCATAGAGGAAACATATAGAGACATACACATACAGATCTATAGCTGCATTTATATCTTTTTTCTGAGCCATTTGAGTGTAAAGTTACAGATATGCTCTTGTAACCACAAATTCTTCAGTATATAAATCCTAAAAACAAGGACGTTTTCTTACAAAGCCATCGTATAATGGTCACATGCAGGGAATACAGCATTGACAGAATACACTAGAAAACAGTCTATAATCAAATATTACCAATTTTACCCCGATCCACAGCAAAGCCAAGATCACACATTACATTGTTGTCCCATCTCTTTAATATCTTTTTGTCTGGAACAATTTTCCCTCTTCTCTATATGACACTGGCATTTTTAGAGAGTGATAGGCCAGGTGACTTCTTTAATATGCCTCAATTTGGGTTGGTCTGGAGTCCCTTCATATGTAGATTTTGGTTATATATTTTTTGCATGAATACTCCATAAGCAATGATAGCATTCTATGTTAAAGTTACTACCTTTTGCTGATTGGGCAAGTTTTTATCTATTTGGCTTCTCTACTGTGAAGTTACCATTTTCCTTTTCTCAGAAAGGAGGTTACTGTTGCCCTCAAATTTTAGGATCTACTGATGTACCTCAATTAATTATGGCCATGAAGGTTGCATTATGTTGGGTTTTGTAATGCTATCATTCCTCTTAATATTGAGTAGTTTGCATTCTACTGTAGTGGAGAGCTTTCCCTTGTTCTTTGTTTATTATCTGAATGGAATCAAGGATTCTTATTGGATTCAGCGGGTTATGCTTTGAACAGGCTTTGGCTGCCCAAACTCATACTGATGTTTAAGCCCCGCAGCCCTATGCTAATAGCTAATAGGTTAATGCTAGTGTTCAGTGGACTCAGGCTAGAGACTTGACACAATTTTGGTATCTAGGAGGTGGGCCACATGGGAGGTCGTTTGTTCATGGGGAAGTGGGGACTTGCCCTTGGAAGGAAGTTCTTGTGAGAGGGTTGGTTATTTAAGCCAAATTCGACCAACCTTCTCTTTGCTTCCTGTCTCGGCATGGGAGTCCGCCCTGCCATCCTCCATCCTCACCAGGTGCCTAAGCCAGGGGGTCTCCCAGTTTTGGGTTGTGAATCTCTGAAGCTGTAAGTTGAAATAAGCACTCTTCTTTCCTAAGCAGCTTCTCTCAGGTATTTGAGTTAAAACAACGAAAAGCAGACTAATATGGGCTAACATGTGGTCGTCATTACAATCACATTCATTTTGGTGCTCGAACAGTCCCAGATTCAGCTAGTGGGAGCTTCGTCAAGATGATACATTTTGAGGCTGGCGCTGTGGCATAGCTGGTAAAGCTACCACTTGCAGTGCTGGCATCCTGTATGGGCGCTGGTTCGAGTCCCAGCTGCTCCACTTCCAACCCAGATCTCTGCTAATGGACTGGGAAAGCAGTGGAAGGTGGCCCAGGTGCTTGGGCCCCTGTATCCATGTGGGAGACCTGGAAGATGCTTCAGGCTCCTGGCTTTGGATGGGCCCAGCTCCAGCTATTGCGGCCATTTGGGGAGTGAACCAGTGGATGGAAGACCTTTCTCTCTCTGTCTCTTTGTAACTCTGCTTTTCAAATAAATCAAAAAATAAACCTTTTTTTTTTTAAAAAAAGATGATACATTCTCAGGTAGGTTCAACCTGTTTCACAGAAAATTCAAAAATGAAATTCCAGGCACCCAAAGTGCCCTTTTTTCCACAGATGAGAGACTGAGCAGAGTTAGGGAAAGACAAACCTAGTATCAGGAGACCAGGGCAAAGTCCAGGTTGCTGGGTTTATCTTACTGCAGGAGGCCCCTTTCTCTGGACCCTCAATTTTCCATGCCTTGGACTTGGGTTTCAAATGCAGACCCATACACAAAAAAGGTGCTCTGACCGCCTCTCACCTCGGCTTCGCTCATTTCTCTTCTAATCACTGCCTCCCATAGCTCCAGTACATGCACCTCTTCTCTGTCCATTCAGTTCCTCCTTCTGTGGACCCCTATCCCAACTCAGGGAATGGGAGACGAGGACCGGATTAGGATGAACAGAAAGGAAAACAGTTACCTCAAAATACTGACTTTCCTGGGGCCCGTACTGTTACATAGCGGGCTAAGCCTCAACTGCCTCTGACGCCAACATCCCATATGGATGCTAGTTCGAGTCCCCAGCTATTCCACTTCTGATCCAGCTACCTGCTAATATGCCTGTGAAAGCAGTGGAAAATGGCCCAAGTGCTTGGGCCCCTGCCACTCATGTGGGAGACCCAGAAGAAGCTCTGGGCTCCTGGCTTCAGCCTGACCTGGCTCTGGCCATTGTGGTCATTTAAAGATTTTTATTTATTTATTTGAAAGGCAGAGACACAGACAGAGAAGGAAAGAGAGAGATCAAGAGAGAGAGGGAGATCTTCCACCCACTGGTTCACTCCCCAAATGGCCACAAATGCTGGAGCTGGGTCAGGCCAAAGCCAGGAGCTTGGAGCTTCTTCCAGGTATCCCACGTGGGTTAAGGGGCCCAAGCACTTGGGCCATCATCTTCTGCTTTCCCAGGCATATTAACAGGGAGCTGTATCTGAAGCAGAGCAGTGGGGACTTGAGCTGGTACCCATATTAGATACCAGCACTGCAGGCTGAGGCTTAACATTCTACGCCACAGCACCGGCCCCATGGATAAACTATTTTTCTTTAAAATTGTCAGCCCATCCCCTTTCTCACATTTGTTGCAAAAGACATCTTAGAGCTGAGTATTATTATTATTGGTGAAAATTTTACAACACAGGCCCCTTACCCATCTCAGCTGCCCGTCACTCGTGAGCTGCCTGTAGAAGCCTCTGAAGTCACCGACAATGTCCCTGAGATCCTTGTGAAGGACATGGTGGGCGAGGGCATTCACAGCACAGACAACTATTAAAAAATAGTTAGTTTTCTCTCTTAGTTTGCTTTAAAGCCAGTAAAACATGAAAATACCAGAAACAAAACAATTTGGAGATTTTAAATACAAAAGGTATTCGCTTTAAAAAGTGTCCCAAATGTATTCAGTGGTTGTCACAGTTCCCATCACACAAGTAGAATAGTTTTTATCCATATAGCTAGTTTAATTGCTGAGCAGAGCAAACACAATTTGATTGGTTATTATGTAAAAATAGAACCAAACATACATTTACAAGTAAACAATATTCCCACGTTGTTTTCCTTTTCACTTTGTAAAGTGCTTGGGCAATGAGATCCAAAGCCAAACCCTTCTAGTGCATTGTTCCTAAGGAATAACAATACTCTGACTTACCAAAATTAAAAAAAATTAAAAAAAAATTTTAAAAAACCACGCCTTGGCAGGTGTTTGCACAGCAGTTAGGTTGTTACTTGGGGTGCCTGATCTGGGGCTGCATTGAGGCGCTGTGAGTTAAGCCATCGCCTGTAACACTGGCATCCCATATGAGTGATGGTTCAAGTCCTGGTTACTCCACATCTTATGCAGTTCCCACCTAACGTGCCTGGGAAAGCAGAGGAAGATGGCCCAAATACCTGGGCCTGCCGCCCACATGGGAGACACACACAGATGCAGCTCCCGGCTCCTGGGCTTGGCTTGGTCCAACCCTGGCAATATTCTCTCCCTCTATCTCTGTAACTCTGCCTTTCAAATAAATAAATAAACCTTTAAAAAAAGTGCCTGGTTTAAGGCTTTGCTCCTCTGCTTTTGATCCAGCTTCTTGCACTGTGTATCATGGCCAGGTGCAGCCCTGGGAGGCACCAGATGATGGATCAAGTACTTGGGTCCCTGCCACCCATGGAGGGGATCCAGATGGAGTTTGTGGGTTCCTGATTTTGACATGGCTCATCCCTGACTGTTGTGGGCATTTGGGAAGTCAAATAGTAGATGAAAGATTGCTCTCTCTGTCCCCGTCTCTCTGCTTTTCAAATAAAATGAAAAAAAAAATTTTAATTTAGAAAGCCTTTTCATTATTGTCAAGTATAGAAAATGACTTGAATTGGGGCCTGCACTGGTGCAGCAGGTAAAGCCACCACCTGCAGTGCTGGCATCCCATATGGGTATCGTTACTAGTCTCGGCTGCTCCTCTTTCAATCCAGCTCTCTGCTAAGGCCTGGGAAAGCAGTAGAAGATGGCCCATGTCCTTGGGCCCCTGCACCCATGTGGGAGACCCAGAGGAAGCTCCTGTCTCCTGGCATCAGATTGGCTCAGCTCCTGCCATTGCAGCCAGATTAAATAAATTAAATAAATTTGACACTTGCATAATACTTACAAGTAAAATGTCAGAGTGTATAGGAATACTGTTTTTGTAAGTAGTGTGTTTCCTTATAATGACTTACTTATTATATACTACATTTTTCTTATTTTTTAAATATTTATTTATTTGAGTTAGAGTTATGTAGATGCAAATATTTCAAGATCTAAAAAAAAAAAAAAGAATCCAAATGTAAAACACTCTGGTTCAAGTGTGCTGAACAAGGCTACTCAAACTGCAGCAGCACACGCCCCTAAGGCGTGCCTGGCCTCTGTGTGAAGCAGCTCCCAGATACCATCTGTGCACTTGCACAGATGCAGCATTTACGGCTGAGCCAGCCGATCTTGGACCTCCAGAGCTTTTGTTAATGGATACACAACCGTTCTAGTTCAGATACTCATCCCTAGAATTGTGAAAAGAAGGAGTCCTCCTCACTCCCTGATGGCTGTCGCTCTTGGATTACAGAAAAGCTGTCTAAGTCAGGGATGCATTATCTACATCTAACCTCTGAGCATGAATTGATTGCTGGCATAAATCACTGCTTGAAGCACACCTCCGCTATGCATCGCAACAGCAAATGCACTTAACAAAACCAAGGATGACCTCATCTTTATGGCTCTAAGAGATGTCAAGAAACGCTAGTATTTTTATCTATAGTATGTAGATCTTCCTTTTTCAACAGGAAATCTGCAAGAAATGAACTAAAACGTACTGCAACCGATAGGAATCTGGGCTGTGGTCATCTGACTCCAGTGTGGAGAAAAGTCCACTGCAGGTTTGCAAGTTCAATGGGCTGGAAATTCATCTGGAAAAACTGGCCCTTTTCTTGCTGACTAAACACCATGGTTTTCCTCTGTGCCTATGTGCCCAGGACCTGCCAGCAACACCCAGGACCTGTTATGACTGGGTGTCAGAGCCCATGAGTGGTAGAAAGCCGTAAGACTTGTGACTTTGCTTTTGGGCCTATTTAAATATTCTTCCATTTTTAGCTCCTCTTCCTTTTATTTTCCAATTTCCTATTAAAACTATTTTGGTCTGCATTGTATACATCTTATACATGGGTACAAACCTCAAGAATGTATCAACCAAGAGTGAACCCTAATGTTAACGATGGACTTTGGGTGATATAGGGTGAGCATTCCTAATCCAAAAAGATCCAAAATATGAAACACTTCAGGTGCCAGGCATTAAGGATAAGAGATATTGGGGTCGGTGCTGTGGCGCAGTAGGTTAATCCTCTGCCTACACCGCTGGCATCCTATATGGGTGCCGGTTCTAGTTTGGGCTTCTCTTTCAATCCAGCTCTCTGTTATGGCCTGGGAAAGCAGTTAGAAAGATGGTCCAAGTGCTTGGGCCCCTGCACCTATGTGGGAGACCCAGAAGAAGTTCTTGGCTCCTGGCTTACGATCAGCTCAACTCCAGCCATTGTGGCCATCTGGGGAGTGAACCAGCAGATAGAAGACCTTTCTCTCTGTCTCTCCCTCTGACTGTAACACTCTCTCTCAAATAAACAAATAAAAGCTAAAAAAAAAAAAAAAAAAAAGGATAAGAGATATGGGATTGGCACTGTGGTGCAGCAAGGTAAGCCGCTGTCCACAATGTCAGCATCCTACATGGGCGCTGGTTCTAGTCCTGGCTGCTCAGCTTCAGATCCAGCTCCTGCAAATGTCCCTGGGAAAGTAGCAGAAGGTGGCTCAAGTGCTTGGGCTCCTGCCACCCAATGTGAGAGACCCAACTGGAGACCCAGATGGAGTTCCAGCCTCCTGACTTTGCCCTAGCCCAGCCTCGGCAGTTGTGGCCATTTGGGGAGTGAACCAGCAGATGGAAGGTCTCTCTGTCTCTGTGTTTCCCTCTCTTTCTATAAGTCTACCTTTCAAACAAAAAAATAAATAATCTTATTAAAACTATGGATAAGGGATACTCGACCTATAATGATGAGTACCAACAGTGCTCAAAAATTTTAGAATTTGGAGCATCTATGATACTAGATTTTCAGACTAGGGATGCTCAACCAGAGATGTCTATGCAAATATTCCAAAATGCAAATCTCAAACACTGTGGATCCCAGATATTTCGGGTAAGGGAAACTTAACCTGTAATGATGTATCCTGAGGGTTCATCGATTTTAACAAATGCACCACTCTGCTGGAGGACGCCGATAATAGGGCTGTGTTGTGCATGTGCGGGGCCAGGAATACATGGAAAATCTCTGTAACTCCTGCTCAGTTTCACTACAGACCAAAACTAATCAAAAAATAGCCCTTTTAAAAAAACATAAAGGAAGCAGGAGAAAATGCATAACAGTGAAATGCAACAGGGACAAGAGTTGAAAAGAAACTTCCAACATAAAATTACACTGGTTTATTCTGTACACTAAAAAAAAAAAAACCCTCCCTTCTGCCCTCACACACGAGTATCCTCTTCACTACAGTAAAGAAACCTCTCTCTCTCCCTCTCTATCTGGATCATAAAAGAACTGCTGGGTAAGTGAGCGGGTCAAGGCTGTGGGAGAACCACGAGGAGCTAATGGAACTTTCCATCTTTAGCGTGAGTACTGTGTAACACATTTTTGGTGAGACTGAGTCACCTGCAATAGCAGGAGGATTAAAGTGAAAGTGAATTCTGTCACACTGTGGTCTGAAAAAGGCGGAAGCCAACAACATTAGCACGAAAGAGACACGCATTAAAGTCATAAAGAGATGGAAGTTGATTTACCTGTGTCTGAGCCATCTGGCAGGACAGCTGGTGGGGCTGATAATGGAGGATTTGGGGGGTGGGAGGGTTGTCAGGGAAGGTCCTAACCACTGAACTTGGCATCATGGGAGAACCTCTTACCTGTCTTAGTGCCCAGGGAGGGTCCCTCTACTGTGCACCCACGTCAGCAAGTTCAGTGTTGTCTGATCACGGACAGAGGTTCTAGGGGCCTGTCCCATAGCCCATGTTGTGAGGATCTCTGAGGTTTTTTTTTTTTTTTTTTTTTTTTTTTGGACAGGCAGAGTGGACAGTGAGAGAGAGAGACAGAGAGAAAGGTCTTCCTTTGCCGTTGGTTCACCCTCCAATGGCCGCCACGGTGGGCGTGCTATGGCTGGCACACCGCGCTGATCCGAAGGCAGGAGCCAGGTGCTTCTCCTGGTCTCCCACGGGGTGCAGGGCCCAAGCACTTGGGCCATCCTCCACTGCACTCCCTGGCCACAGCAGAGAGCTGGCCTGGAAGAGGGGCAGTCCCGACCAGGACTAGAACCTGGTGTGCCGGCGCCGCAGGCGGAGGATTAGCCTATAGAGCCGCAGCACCGGCCGAGCTCTCTGAGTTTTATGCAGCGTCTCGGGGACTGTGCTGTATGGTGTGCAGCATAGAGAAAGACAGCGGCTTCAGGAAGTGCTCGACTTACATCCAGAGACAACTAAAGTCAAAGAAGAGGCTGGAGCATAGCTCACAAAGCTCTGTCTTGGTCAGCGGTCACTGCCTTGAGGAAAACTTTTAAACAGGAAGTCCTTGACTTAATGAAGCAGGGGATACTGATCACTGTCTAGTTTCTATTTATCTGGAAAACTGCTACCTAGTCTTCGAGATTCACCTCAAAGTATCACCTCTGCTCTGAAGCTGTCTCTGAACCTCCTGCACAGAGGGAAGTAGCGTCTGCCTTCCTGGAAGACTTACCTAGTTCTTCCGTATCCCGAGGTCCCCCCACAGATACCAAAATTGGCAGATGCTCAAGTCCCTTATGTGAAATGGGGTAGTATGTGCCTGTAACCTACGTACATCCAGTATATTTTGGAGAAAGATCTTCCATCCACTGGTTCACTCCCAAATGGCTGCAACAGCCAGGGCTGGGCAGGGCTGAAGCCAGGAGCCAGGAGCTTCCTCCATGTCTCCCATAGAGGTGCAGGGGCCCAAGAGCTAGATAGGAAGTGGAGCTGCCAAGAATCAATCCAGTGCCCATACAGGATGCTTGTATCGTGGGCCGTGGCTTTACCCACTACACCAGAACTCCAGCCCCTGGATTGAGTTTCTTGATCTTGGCTTTGGCCTCAGACAGGGGCCACTGTAGACATTTGGGGAGTGAACCAGGGGAAGGGCGTTTCTCTCTCTCTCTCACACACACACACACACTCTCTCTCTCTCTGCCTCTCAAATAAATAAAATTTAAAATTTTTTAAAAAATAATTCTTACATCACACTATGATCATTTCTTTCACGTCCATCTCCCTGACACGTTTGTGTGCTCCTTGTATGTGGAACTTTTTCTCACTCTCCTTTAGAATCTCTCTCCAGTGCTTGGCAGAGTACTTGACGCAGAGCAGCATTCCAGAGGAGTACATTGAAGATATCGAAGGACAGACCTGTTGGATGACTGAATGCCAGGAATGGGAAGAGTTGGCACAGCAGCCACCATGAGAGTACCACTGCATGATCAAGAAAAGTCCCCTTGTCTGTCTGTCTGTCTCTGTCTCTCTCTCACATACACAAACACTTCAGCAGAGCAAGACTTTTATTCTACAACTAGAATAAGACAGGGCAGATACCCGTGGAGAGGTCACATCACCACCAAAGTTACAGTCTCTTTCCCCCCTCCCTGGGTTCTTACCCTTTAACCTATGGTAATTTGGCTTCAGTCCCTAGGAATCCATCAGAATTGATCTGGCAAAGGTCACCTGTTTGTATTTCTTGAATTCTGTACATATCATATAGTTAGAACAAGCTGCCTTTAAATATTCTGGAGAGAAATCGCTGTGGGTGGGACTCACTGAGTTCCTCTCTCGGCCTCAGTGTCCTTGTTTCTAAAAGTTAAGGGGGTTCAGTGTCACCACTGAGCTCTAAGGCCAGCATTAACAAAGGTTATGTTATGATCAGGGTCTTCTGTTTAAGAACATGGTGGGAGGGGAGAATAATTTATACATGGTTCCGCATACATCCTAAAGAATCTGCTCTCCCTGGATGAGATCTTTGAAATTAGACAGGGCCTTTTCTACCATGAAAATGAGTGAACTTGAGACCAACTTGGTGTGAAATATTTTAAGAATCCAGTAGACTCATGATGCACATCACAATTAGCCTTCATCTGGGAGCTCACATCTGCTCCCTCCGGTTGCCCTTGGTTACCTGCATACTTAATATCCCTAAAGCTGTACTGTGGTCAGGAGTTAAAAGCAGGTGAATAGCATTTTGTAGCTATCACTGACCACAGAGAAATGGACTGAGAGTCACGGATGTTCCAGCACTCTGTAGATGACTACAAGGAGAAAGGCCAAACTCTGTCACTTTAATTTCTCCCAGCAACATATATAACACACATTCACACATTATTTTTACTCTCTTAGAGCAGAGTAAATACAGACAAAACAGAGGCCAAAACTAGAATCCAAGTGAAAATTAAGCATTCTGGAACCTTACAAAAAGTCCTTCACTCACCAACTTCAGTGCCTTTCCCCAGTGTGAAGGTAATTCCACATCCTGCGAGTCCATCTCCTGCGTCGGTCTCTATGACGACGTAGGCAGCTGAGTAGTCAGGGTCTGTGTGCTGCGGGAAAGGTCACCCCCACTCAGCCAAACGTGAGCACACGGAAAAGTCACCCGAGAACGACGTCCCAGGAGAACAGAAAACCCAACAGGGGACAAGCAGGGAGAGCAATGATCTGACTGACCATGGACTTTGCCCAAAGAAAATGTGGCAGCTCTGCATGGGATGACTTCTTGAAGGATTCAAAGTATTTCAACAACAATGTACACTTGCATTAAATTGAAAATTGTTTTAATTCATTTTTCATCTATTTAAAAAGCTGACAGAGAGAAAGATAAAGATAGGGAGAGAGAGAGATTTTCCACTTGCTGGTTCACTCTCTAAAATGCCTACAACAACCAGGGCAGGTTCAGGCTGCAGCCAGGAGCCTAGAACTCTATCCATGTCTCCCAAGTGGGTGGCAGGGACCCAACTACTTGAGCCATCATCTGTTGCCTCCCAGAGTGCACATTAGCAGGAGGTTGGATTCAGAAGCCAGCTAGGAATCATACTCAGGCAATCTGATACGGGCATCCCAAGCGTGCCTAAATCGCTGGACCAAAGACCCACCCCTCGATGTACACAATTTTTACACCAGTTGGCAATTACTTCTCCTGTGATATTCAGCTCAGTTTTTTTTAAAGGAAAGCTTTTATTTAATAAATATAAATTTCATAGGTACAGCTTTTGGAATATAGCAGTTCTTCACCTAATACCCGCCCTCCCACCCTTACTCCCATTCCACCTCCTACCCCCCTCCCCCATCTTCATTAAGATTCATTTTTAATTATCTTTCTATACAGAAAATCAATTCTATACTAAGTAAAAATTTCAACAGTTTGAACTCACACAGACACACAAAGTACTGTTTGAAGACAAGTTTTACCATTAATTCTCATAGTACAACTCATTGAGGACAGAGGTCCTACATGGGGAGCAAGTGCACAGTGACTCCTGCTGTTGATTTAACAATTGACACTCTTATTTATGACGTCAGTAATCACTCGAGGCTCTTGTCATGAGCTGCCAAGGTTATAGAAGCCTTTTGAGTCCACAAACTCCGTCATTATTTAGACAGGGCCATAGCAAAGTGGAAGTTCTCTCCTCTCTTCAGAGAAAGGTACCTCCTGCTTCAATGGTCCCATCTTTCCACTGGGATCTCACTCACAGAGATCTTTTATACAGGCCATTTTTTGCCACAGTAATGCTCTCACAGGCTTTTCAGCCAGATCCGAATGCCTTAAGGACTGATTCTGAGGCCATAGTTCAGCTCAGTGTTAAATCCAAGAGTTTTTGCTCACAGCTCTCTGCCGGCTCTTTGTTACACTCACCAGCAGCTGTGACTTGTTTTGCCTCACCTGGATTGATCTTCACTGCAGCTGCTTATAGCAGAGCCGAGAGCACAGCGGCACCAGTTCAGAGATTTCTGGGGGTGAGATAAATTAAGCCTTCAAAACAAATCAAATCACTTCTTCTTGTTTTGTTTTATGTGGCCTTAGCGTCTCACTCTCAAACAGTATTCTGATATCAAGTTCAAGTACAGCTGGCCCTCCCTAGCTGAGGCTTTGCATCCAGATTCAAACACAGATCAGAAATAGTGGGGAAAAAACTGCATCTGTACTGAATGTACAGACTTAGAATCATTGTTTCCTACATGAAATCTGTTCCCTTTATATAAATTAAAAAATTAAAAAAAAAAATCATTGTTCCCAGGGCTGGCGCTGTGGCGTAGTAGGTAAAGCCAGCTCCTACAGTGTCGGCATCCTATATGGGTGCCAGTTTGATTCTCGGCTGCTCCACTTCCCGTCCAGCTATCTGCTATGGCCTGGGAAAGCAGTAGAAGATGGCCCAAGTCCTCAGGCCCCTGCACCTGCATGGGAGACCCAGAGGAAGCCCCTGGCTCCTGGCTTCAGATCGGCACAGCTAGGGCCATTGCAGCCAATTCGGGAGTGAGCCAGGGGATGGAAGACCTCTCTCTCTCTCTCTCTCTCTCTCTCTCTCTCTCTCTCTCTCTGTGTAACTCTAATTTTCAAATAAATGAATAAAAAATATTTAAAAAAATCATTGTTCCCTAAATACTATAGTATACCAACTATTTAGACAGCATTTATACTCTCATAGGTATGGTAAGTAACCTAGAGATAATTTACATAAGAGGATATGCATAGATTACATGCAAACTTTATATAAGAGGCTTGATCATCTAGGGATTCTGGTATCCTCAGGAGGTCTTGGAATAAATCCCCATGGATAGCAAAGAAAGACTGTATTTATTGATCAACTGTAATGAAGCTCAATACTTCTTGATACAAGGGATGCAGAAGTTTTTTAGAAAAATTATTTATTTATTTGAAATGCAGAGCAATAGAGAGAGAGGAGGAGAGATGTTCTTTCTGCTGGTTGGCTCCGCAAATGGCTGCAAATAGTGCAGGCCGAAGCCAGTAGCCTAGAACTCCATCCAGGTCTCCCACGTGGGTGGCAGAGACCCAAGTACTTGAGCTATAATCCACTGCCTTCCCAGGTACATCAGCAGGGAGCTGGATCAGAAGCGGGGCAGCCAGGACTCAAACTGGCACTCTGATATCGGATGCCGGTGTCATAAGAGGCAGCTTAACCTGCTGTATCATGCCAGCTCCAGAAGTTGGTTGGTTGTTTATTTTTTGAAGTCTATCTCTATAAATTTATCACACAGTGGGAGAAAAGGGCAAGACATAGAACCAGGTGAGAACAAGCTGAGAGAGCACCAGGCTATATGCTGAAGTGTGGTCAATTTTAAGTAGCATAGAAATTCAAGGCACAAAGAAGAGTGAAAGGTAAGTAGAATTTGGGGGAATTCCTTAGAGGCAAGACCACTGCCATGGGCAAAGGGGAAGCTGAAAACATCCAGAACAGAGACAGCAATACCTAAATCAGAGGCCTTAGTGTGGCAGCGAAGCAATGGGCTCATAGGGGTGCTGGCTTGGAAGTGAATGAAGATAAAACCAGAGAGATGGTATGGGGGCAGATATGGAGACTCCCAAAGCCAGCCAGAAGATATGAAGGCATTAATAAGGAATGTAGAACACAACTGTTGAAGAGTTTTACATAAGACTATCACAGAGAATTTATTACATAGTATTTTTTGTCCCAGGTACATCATTCTAAGAGTGTGACATTATTTAATGTAACCCTCACAGCAACATTATAAAGAAGGTGTTAGCATCTCTAACTTAGAGATGAGGAAGCTGAGTTTTGAAGAAGCCTAGTAACTTGTCCAAGGTCATACTGTAAGTAGGGAGGCAGAATTTAAATTTCTTGATGGGAAGGGGGGTTATATATGATGGATGGGGGCCTGGGTCTGGGGTCAAAGCATAGTGGAGGAATTTGGGGTGATGCCTTGCTGAGTGCTAGCTGCATGTCACCATTCAAGTTGCTAAGGGGACTATGGATGTAGCTGCCCTCAAGGAAATTGCAGTTGGGAAGATGTGGTTACCAGCATTCTAATAACATAAGACAGAAGACGTTGAGTTCCCGGGAGAGACACACTCTATGAAAACAGACAGCAAGCACACTTGGCTGAGAGCACTGGGGGCTGGAGCAGGTGGATGGCAGAGCTGTATCTGAGCTGGCCAGCTGAGGGTGAGCTGAGAGGGGAAGGGACCAAAAGGACTGGGAACTATGGTAGGTGGATAACCACAGCAGTGAGGGCAGCAAAGGGACAGATAAGGCAAAGACTGGTGTGTATTCAAGGGTTGGGGACCATCTTGGCTTGTCCTTGCCATTGGGTCCGGAAGGAGAGTTGAAAGAAGAGGTCAATAAGGAGACTCTAAGGTCCACCCCAACAGCAAATTCTGGGTTACAAGAAGAAGCAATGGAAAAGGAAACTTTCACTGAAGCCTTAGATGAAGGTCCAAAGGTTGAGATGAGCCCAAGGTGACTGGATACATCTGAGTCCCCACGACGGGCGAGTGCAGACACCTCATGGACGAGAGGGGCCAAGGGTGGGAGATGCTCCGTCCCGATTTAGGTAGACTCTGTCTATATGAAGGTGAAAAACCTAACAGGAAGCACCAGATGGCCGCTGGACTTGAGCTCTGGAGGTCTTGGGCCTGAGAGCATGGTCTTGGTGAGAGTGCACAGTGAGATGTGGAAGCCCCAGAGAGGGAAGAAGCAGTCAGGGTAGAAGAAGGAGCAGCCAGGAAGGCAGGAGGATGGTGGGGAGACAGATCTGGGAGTATGACCAGGCAGCAGACCGGGGGAAGGGCAAGGCTCAAGGACATCGGAAGCTGAAATAACCAGTGCCATTCCAAGGGAAGGAAGGAAATCTAGGGCCCATTTCAGTTTAAGGTGGGGTTTGGGCCAGGAATTTCGAGTCTGGCAAGGAGCGGCAGAAACCAAAGGTATCGGGGTCAAGTAAAGACTCCTTCCTGTCCCTGTGGGGCATAGAAGGAACCAATGGAAAAGAAGAGACTATAGATGGAAATGCTGGAGAAGGAGGACAGGGAAAGGGACCCCGGAAGTGAAGAAAGGAATGGGTTGGGACACAGCCTAGAGAACAAAGGCAAGGACAGGAGGGCTGGGTGCTGACTGATGTGGGGAGACGTGGCCAAGGCTGCATTTGTCTGAATCCTTCTCAGAGATGCAGCGGACAAGGTCTTCTAACAGCTGAGGGTACAGGACTGGGGGCCGGAGGAGAGAGAACAAGGTCTGGCCCGGCTGCTCCGGAGACCTCACAGCCGCCGAGGAAGGAAGAGGAAAAGCACTGCTGGGAGGAGACCAAGGGCACTGGTGGCTTGGCTGTGAGCTCCCGGTCCCCGGAGAGGCCTGCACAGCACAGCAGGTCTGAGCCCGCCACATTTCTACCCTGGTGGATGAGAAGTCCCAGTGGAAAGCTTGGCTTTAACAGATGCCGAGGGCTCCTTCAGGAAGACACGCTGCTTGTGACCAGCAGGGCTCCCTCTGCTGTAAAGTGGCCAAAGTAGCTCCTTCCTGGGGCACAGGCTGCACTCACCCTGCAGAACTGCAAAGTAGCACATTCCAAGAAGACGTCTGAGACCCAGCAGCACGAATGCCCTGTCTCCGGAAGGTAAACCCTTCAGTATTTATGAGCAGGTAATCCAGATGCCAGATAATTGCTCCTGAAATTAACCTACAGTGCACCAGGCTATCCTACACTTCACAAATAAATGCAAAGTCAAGTCTAGGTCAGAGTCCCTTCTGCTTCGGTTTCCTCTTATGTAAACAGGAATCACAGCCAGCTCCTAGCGAGGCCCTTCTCTGTCTCGGGTTCTCTACAAGCATCTCATTTACACACATGAAATGGAGAGGATCGTGCCCATTTTACAAATGAGTAAGCCCAGGAGAGGCTGCGTGGCTGACTCCCAGGTGTCAGGCCCCAGATAGGCAAAGGCAGTTGCTCTACATCAGCTCTTTGGACTTTACAAGCCAGTAAAATGTCAAACATGGATTTGGAGGACCACAAAGGACCACCAACTAGTTTTTGCGACAAGCCATTTACCATAATATAGAAAGACACAAGAATTAATTTTAAAAAGCAAATCTCAGAATAGAGCACATGATTTGCATTTAGTAACTTTATTTTGCATGTTTTCATGAAAAGGCTTAGTTTTAGAAAACATTTCAGGTTTGAAAGAACACCTAGAATGACTGAACACCAGTGTGCCATCCGCACGACCTCGGATATGAACTGGAGTCCCAGGCTGCCCTTGCCCAACCCCATTCCATGTCCTCTTGATACGTAATCATTCTCCCAATGCTGGTGTTCCTCACTTCCGGGCGCAGAGTCACACATTCCCTACATACCGCTGCTCTTTTTCTAGTGCGGCCATTTTCAGTGGAACAGGCCCCATCTGGATCCTGCACAGAATTCACGTATCTGGAAACCACTGCATTAGAAGACGGGAGGGTGGAGGGCCCGCTCACACTCAGAGAGGAACAAAAAGCCCTTCACATTCAGGTAGGAGTCAAAGGGTGCCCTTACTCGACCGCATCTCTGAAGACTGACATCTGGGGGCAGGCAGTTGGCTCAGTAGTGAAGACGTCAGGTGACGGCTCAAGAACCTGGGTTCCTGCCACTCACGTGGGAGATCCAGATTGAGTTCCTGGCTCCTGGCTCGGGCCTGGCCCAGCTTCAGCTGTTGCAAGTATCTGAAGCTCTCTGGATCGGTTTCTCTCTCTCTCTAAGTAAACACAACTTTTTAAAAGACTGGCATTGGGCTGTTGACTGTGATCAGGCCTGACCATGGCTGCAGGTGCCATCATTTCACGAGAGCGCCCTCTCACACGCGTTACTACAAACAGCCCACCTGGAACACTTGATTTGCTGAGAGGTCCAAGTCACACAGCCAGCTGTGACGGACTCTTGGGAACCCCGCCAAGTTCTCCGTCGCAAAGAGGGAGCGCGAGAGAAAAAGAAAAGCTCCGGGAGGGTGGAGAGTTTCTCCATACTTGTATTCCTTTGGGGCACAGGAAGTGTCCACCCATTTTACACAAGAAATGAGCGCAAGGCTGGGAAACTGGCAGGACCCACAGGTCCCCTCACGCGGAAGGGTCCCCTCACGCGGAAGGGTCCCCGGGCGGCGGCCAGCGCTTACCATGGCGTCCGAGCCGTGACCCCCGAGCGACGTGGGGAAGCGCACATCGCGGACCGAGAGCCGGATTATCCTGCCGCGCACCATAGCGTCCGCACCACCCGCAGAGGCCAGGCCGTGGGCGCGGCGGAGGGCGGCCGGGGCGGGGCTTCGCTGCGGCTCGGCCCGCGCTGATTGGCCGTACGATCCGGGCCGCGGCCGCGCTCTTGGACTTGGCCCCCGCGGGGTCTGAAAGTCCAGCCCCCTGCTGGCTGGGTCCCCGCGGTTTCCGGGCGCCCTGAGCCTCGCTTCTCCTGCGTGGCTTCGTTCAGAACCCGCGGCGGACCTTGGGCCAGAAGAGAGCCAGCCTTGCCCGGAAACTCGCGAAATGGCCTGTAGGGGAGGGGAGCAGCGCCCTAGGAGCAGGTTCTGGCCAGTGGCTGTGCTCCTCCCCCGAGCCGCTGGTGGACGTGGGCACACCTACCAGAGCAGTGGTTTAGAAAGTGTTAGCCTCGGTCTCTCCCTCTCGCTAATTCTTTCAAATAAATAAATAAATCTAAATAATATATAATATTAATATATTAATATTATTAATAATAATAATATGCAACGTCCCACACGGGGGCCAGTTTTTTTTTTTTTGTTTTTGTTTTTTTGTTTTGTTTTTTTTTAACAGGCAGAGTGGATAGTGAGAGAGACAGAGAGAAAGGTCTTCCTTTTGCCGTTGGTTCACCCTCCAATGGCTGCCACTGCCGGCGCACTGCGGCCGGCGCACCGCGCTGATGCGATGGCAGGAGCCAGGTGCTTCTCCTGGTCTCCCATGCAGGTGCAGGGCCCAAGCACTTGGGCCATCCTCCACTGCACTCCCGGGCCACAGCAGAGAGCTGGCCTGGAAGAGGGGCAACCGGGAAAGAATCCGGCCCCCCGACCAGGGCTAGAACCCGGTGTGCCGGCGCCGCTAGGTGGAGGATTAGCCTATTGAGCCGCAGCGCTGGCCATCAGACGCCAGTTTGAATCCCAGCTGCTCCACTTCCAATCCAGCTCCCTGCTAATGCACCTAGGAAAGCAGTGGAAGGTGGCCCAAGCCCGTTGGGCCCCTGCTACCCACCAGGGAGACCAGGATGAGGCTTCTGGCTCCTGGCTTCTGCCTGGCCCAGCGCTGGCTACTGCAACCATTTGGGGATTGCACCAGCAGATGGTTTTGCCCTCTCTCTGTAATTCTTTCAAATAAATAAATATTAAAAAAAAAAAAAAAGTAGGGGCCAGTGCTGTGGCTTAGTAGGTGAAGCATCTGCCTGTGGTGCTGGGATCCCATATGGGCACGCGTTCTAGTCCCAGCTGCTCCACTTCTGATCCAGTTCTGGTTATGGCCTGGGAAAGCAGTGGAAGATGACCCAAGTGCTTGGGCCTCTGCATCTGCATGGGAGACCTAGAAGAAGCTCCTGGCTTTGTATCTGCCAACCTCCAGGCATTGTGGCCATTTGGAGAATGAACCAGTGATGGAAGTCTCTCCCTCTCTGTAACACTGCCTCTCAAGTAAATAAATGAAACCTTTTTTAAAAATTGTAAAATAAGAAAATGTTAGGCCTGTCAGCTCCCACAGCCTCAGTTCCCTACCTGAAAAGAGGAAGAGCATCATTTACTACACAACTACACTACCTTTTACCTGCCTGACCCTGCAAAGTAGGCAAGTCATTTTAGTTTTACTGTTAAAAAATGAGGCCTCAGAGAGGTTAAGTGACTTGGCCAAGGCCACACAGCTAGCTAAGTGGCAGTGTCCTGGCTGCAAAACCTGTGCTCCTTTTGCTTTTGGAACTTGGTGCTGAGGTGTTGTGGAAAGCCACAGACGCTTTGTTCACCCACATCTCAGCAACCAACCATGTATTTTTATGTCACAGTAATGGCTTACTGACAGGTGTGCTGTGCCACGGCTACCTCCGGGGAGTTTGCAGACCAAAGGAAATATTTAGGGATGGACATTTGGCACAATGGTTAAAACACAGCTCAGGAGCCTGCATCCCCTATCCCAGTGCCTGGTTCCAGCCCAGACACTGCATTTCCAATCCAGCTCCCTGCTAATGCACACTCTGGGAGGCAGCAGATGATGACCCAAATGCTTAGGTCCTTACCATCGAGCTCCTGGCTTTGCCCTGGCCCAGCCCTGCAGTTGTAAGCACTTAGGCGAATGAACCAGAAGAAGGAAGATCCATTCTCCTTCTCTTTCAAATAAAGTGAAAAAAAAAAAAAATCAAAGGTAAGTGGCGTTACCTTTATGTTTTAATTTGTATTTCCCTAAGGCATATGATATGATTTTCCAGATGCTCCCCTATATACATCTTCTTTGATGAGGTTTGTTAAGGCCTTAGGTCTTAGGCTGTTTTCAGTGTAGTTGGGTTTTTCTCATTGTTGACTTTAAGAGCTCTTTGTATAGTTTGAAGAACACTCCTTTGTTGGATAGGTCTTTTTCAGATATTTTCTCCCCAACTGTGGCTTTTCATTCTCTTAGCACTGTCTTTAAATTTTAATGTCATTATAAATTTAGATAGGGGCTGGCCCTGTGGCATGGTGGTTGAAGCCGCCGCCTGTGGTGCTGGCATCCCATGTGGGTGCTGGTTCGAGTCCCAGCTGCTCCACTTCTGATCCGGCTCTCTGCTATGGCCCGTGTCCTTGGGTCCCTGCAGCTGCGTGGGAGATCCAGGGAAGCTCCAGGCTCCTGCCTTCAGATGGGCACAGCTCTGGCCGTTGTGGCCATTTGGGGAATGAACCAGCAGATGAAAGACCTCTCTCTTTCTCTCTCTGCTTCTGCCTCTCTGTGGCTCTTTCTTTAAAATAAATAAATAAGGGGAAAAAGGAGATAACATACAAAAAATTGTAGATAAACCCAGACTGTCCAACACCAGGACTAAGCCCTGAAGTAAACTCCAGGAAATGAGAGGCCCATTTCCCACTTTTTAAAAGAGGTTAATATTACTTTGATACTATAACAAAGATATTACAAGAAAACTATATATTAATATCCCTCATGAACTTAGACACAAAAATCCTTTTAAAATTAGCAAATCTGGTATCAGCAGTGTATGAAAAAATAATAGGGTACAGGTATTTAGACTAGCAATTAAGATAGCCATGTCCAACCTTAGAGTGTTTGTGTTCAACACCTGGCTCCAGCTCCTGACCCCAGCTTCCTGCCCATGCAGAAACATGGAAGCAGCAGTGGTGATTCAACTAATTGGGTTCCTGCCACGCTTGTGGGAGACATGTATTGTATTCCCAACAGCTGGTTCTGGCCTCAGCCCAGCTCCAGTCACTGGGAAGTGAACCAGTGGATGAGAGCGCGCTCTCTCTTTCTCTCTCACACACACATACAATAATACACCTTGAATGAACTGGATTTCTTTCAGTAATGCAAAGTTGGTTTAACATTTGAAAACCAAGCAATACAGTTATTTCTATTAATAACAGACTTTTAAAAATTGTATCAGGGCAGCATTGTGGTGCAGCAGCTTAAGCTGCCGCCTGACGCCCACTGGCATCCCATATGCATGCAGGTTCGAGTTCCAGCTGCTCAACTTCTGATCAGCTCCCTGCTAATGCCTCTGGGAAAACAGCAGAAGATGGCCCAATTGCTTGGGCATCTCCCAACCATGTGGGAAACCCAGATGAAGTTCCTGATTCCTGGCTTCCGTCTGGCCCAGCCCAAGACTGTTGAGGCCATTTGGGGAATGAATCAGCAAATGGAAGCGCTCTCTCTCCCTCTGTAACTGCCTTTCAAATAAAAGAATGAAACTTCACACACACACATACACACACACAGTCATCTTGATACAGGCTGGAAAACCACTGGGCAAAATTCAGCCTTGATTAAGGAATTTTTTAAAGATTTATTTTACTTATTTGAAAAACAGAGAGAGAGGCAGAGACACACAGAGAGATCTCCCACCCACTGGTTCACTCCCCAAATAACTGAAACAGCTGGAGCTGAGCCAATCCAGGTCTCCCACAGGGGTGCAGGGGCCCAAGCACTTGGGCCATTCTCGGCTGCTCTCCCAGGCACATCAGCAAGGAGCTGGATGGGAAGTGGAGCAGCCGGGACTTGAACCAGCGCTCATATGGGATGCCGGTACTGCAGGCCGAGGCTTTCACCCACTGTGCCACAGTGCCAGTCCCTTGATTCAGAGTTTTACAACACATACACACATAATCAAACCTCTTGGCAAAACAGCAATAGGAAGGAGCTTCTTCAATCTGATAGAGTATCTGCGAACCACTTAGAGCCAGCTGCTGACTTCCTGGTGAAAGATAAATACTTTCCTCCTCAGACTGTGATCAAGGAGAGGAAGTCTGCTTCATTACTTCTGTTCAGTTAGTACTGCAGGTCCAGGCTAGTGTAAAACGGAAAGGTACGACATAAAAGGCAGATAGAAAAGGAAGACACAAACCACTTGTTAAAAAATGTATTTATTTGAAAGGCAGGTTAGAAAAAGGGAGAGTGAGAGAGATCTTCTATCTGCTGGTTCATGTCCCAGATGGCTGTGACAGCCAGTGCTGGACCAGGTTAAAGCCAGGTCCCTTGTACTCCACTTGGGTCTCCAAACGGGTGGCAGAAGCCCAAGCATCTTCTGTTGCCTTCCCAGGTGCATTAGTACGAGGCTCGATTCTAAGTGAGACGCTGGTGTCACAGGTGGCAGTAACCTGCTGTACCACAACACTGGCCCCAAAGACTTTATTCTTAGATGACTACCTGTTTATTACTGCTTTATTCTTAGAAAACTACCTCTGTGGAATTTGCGAAAAAAAGCCACTAGTGCTAGGTACTGAGTTTACCAAATGTGCAGAATACAAGGTCAATTTAAAATCATTTGCTACACTAGTTACCAAGAATTGTAAATTGAAATTAGAACACAGTCTCTTACAATTGCATAAAAAATGAAATACTTTAAACTTTTTAAGAATATACTTTTTATTTATTTTTTTTTTTTACAGGCAGAGTGGACAGTGAGAGAGACAGAGAGAAAGGTCTTCCTTTGCCATTGGTTCACCCTCCAATGGCCGCCGCGGCCGGTGCGCTGCAGCTGGCGCACCGCGCTGATCCGAAGGCAGGAGCCAGGTGCTTCTCCTGGTCTCCCATGGGGTGCAGGGCCCAAGTACTTGGGCCATCCTCCACTGCACACCCGGGCCA